AAGACTCCCAAATGAAACTCTGTTCATTATCAAAATAAGAGGATACTCGACCTATAAAGGGAAGAATAGGATTTCATGCTTCTGAACTCTCTATATAGGGATCTTTGTAGCCTGTGCTGAAGAACTAATCAAATTCAATTCATGGAACAAGATCATTGAGTGCAAACTCGCTCTATTCTCCAGGTTATTACCATCACAGTTTGGTTGCCTGTGTTGTACTGATGTCAGATGGATTTATTTAGAGGGTCTTTGAAAAATCTAAAATGGAAAATCATAGGCTTGTTTTTTATTATTATTTTTGCTGGGAGAGAAGCAATTTGCTTTCAATAGAATTAAAGTAGATTTATTCCGTGCTAATCCCATGCTGATAAGAGTACAAAGACTTTTTCCAAGTCTTGTACTAACTGTAGCCCAGGTAATAGATTGATCATGGTTAATGTATGAGAATTCATTTTAAATCAGTTATCAGTAGCTTACTTACATGAGTAAATTTTATATTGTGTTTTATAATGAAGTTGTGGCATTTATCTTTAGAGATAGTTCTTCCCCAACAGCTTTATGGAATACCAGTCAAGCACTATTAACCTATGTTCTTCTCTTCCTGCTGCCAGTAGCATTAGTTGCTTGTATGTTCATCAATTTCTATTATCCCATAAGCAGTAGCCCCATATACCACATCCAACACCATTTTTGAGTATCCCCTTCATACTCCTGCCATGTTAGAGTAACTACTTCCATTGTATTTTTATCCCACCTGTGTTCTTCTTACAATGAACCGTAGATAACATATGTAGTCATCTTAATTTTATCCTCACAGTTCTGTAAGGTAGGTTACGTTGTGGTTACCCTAAGCCTGTGGGGTAGGTCACTGACTTGAGCTTCATGACCAAGTAGGAACTAAACCCAAGTTCCAGTCCAACACTCTTAACCACTGCACCATAATGACTCTATTAACTGGATGTAATGGTTATATGGACATGTTAAATGAGCAAGGCAGATTCGGTACAAAAGCAGTGTATTAAAAGGTTTCAGCTCTTTTTTGAACAGAAAAAGGTGCCATTGTAAAATACTACCCTGTAGAATGCAGTACATAACATTTTTTATCATCACCTTCATCCAAAGTAGCCCATAGTTACATGATCTGGCATGTAATTTCAATTAGAGCACCAGTAAATTCTTTCCACTTTTATCACAAAGATGGTTTATCTAATAATTTTGAAACTTTTTGGTTAACTTGTTGGTATGGCTTAACTTCATCACTGCATAAACATCTTTTCCAGCTCTTTGAAAAATCAGTGTAAGGTAGTTCCTGGAGTTGCTAAACCGTCTTCAAACTTTCTTCCAGAAATCGCTTACCCATACAATCCTGGCATGATTCTTGAAATTCTTGTTCGTACTTAACACAGGCAAATAATTATCTGTATTGGCTCTAAAAATACTTCGCATTAGTATAATTTAGATAAGGTAACATCTAAAATTCACCTGTAAATGACTTTACAAAATTCACCTCCAGTGTTTCCTACTAGATGCTTATTCTCATCTCTGCAGCCAAGAATATATACTCTTATGATATATATTTTTCTGTATTGTAATTATCCTTCTTTGGTATGGTCCATTTCTGAAAGATGCCATGGGAAAGGGGAGTAAGCATCTAAGCAGAACCTGGGAGGAATTAAGGTATGCTGAGAAAATAGAAAAGAGCAAGAATCTGCTGATCACAAACTCAGTAACTGGATTGTAGTGAAGATAAAATTTAATTAACAACTAGAAGAGGAATACTTGTTTATAAGAAATTAGGCAAAAAAGACCAAAGGAAAGAGAAAACAGTCTTGCTAAATATTCAAAAGGTAATGGGATTAACAAAATACAAGATAGATAAAAGCATTCAATACATGAAGAGTAGTCTAATAAATTCATTTTTATTAAAATACCTAACTAGAAGGCATAACATAATAGTACAAAAGCAATTAGTTAAGACCATGTAGGTTTACTGCTCATTACCATAATCCCTCCTTTCTCCATAAGAGAATTTGAGGAAACAAAAATGTAAAAAGCTTAGGTCCAACATGAAAATTAGTTCACAGCTCACCAACTATACCTTTGCCTATTACAAGACAACTCAAGTGATGAGACTTTATACATTCTAAGTTTTTAATTAGAGCAGGGTTTTTGTCCTCAAGATTATCAGATTTCATAGGCTATACAAATTCTTATGCTCTTTAAAAAATACCTAAGTATGAATGGGAATAGTTTAATCTTTGCGGCCTTGCCAGCAAAGTGTGTAAACGGATGACATTTAAACTGTACTTAAAGAATCCGTATCTATCCCAATACTAGGACTCAAGGCAACTTACATTGGAAACTTATTTATACAAAATAGAAATGTACAAAAGTTAAATATAATTAATTAGCAGAATATCAAAATTATATCAAATACCAACTTTTAAAACACCAAAAAGATATAACCAGTCCAACATAGTCTTATAGGTTGAGACAATTGCCTAAGGCAGGTTTTTGCCTGCCTCCAAAAACTCAGTAAGGAGGACACTATCTAGCCATGGGGAGTGAATTCCAGGACCCTGGCGCAGCCACCAAGAAGGCCCTGTCCTGTCCCCACTAAGTGCATCTGTGAAGGTGTGACTGAAAAGGCATCCTCAGATTTTAGGGTATGGGCTGCCTCCTAAGAGAGAATACACATATCCTTTCGATTCTAATGGGCTCGGGCTGGCATTAATATAAAGAACAAAGGAATACACACACTTGAGGCAAAGGTATGTCATAATTTCAGCATTCCCAAGGGGGTATGAAGTTGTGACGTGCATTACACCCTCAAGAGATAACCCCCAGTTGTAACACAACAGTAGCATTTAGAACAGAATAAGGTACCTTTTTAATCATAACCACTTGAATTAAACTCCAATTGCACTTTTTAAAATTTGTGCATGGTTTTCCTTCATAAAGCATTAATATAAATGACACCAAACAGAAAGTAGGATTACTTAAGCTATGAGCTCTATCCTTCAAGATGGAAGTTAATGTCACAGGAACAGCCTAAACAAACAGACCCAATGAAGATAAATAATAGAATGGTGATGGTTTTGTGACCTGTGTCTGCAAGCAGCAACAGAATTAAGGGGCATATTTTTTCCTCCATAGGTTCTATTAAACTTCCATGCTACAAACACCCCTTTCAGTGCAGGCACAAAACTTATCTGTTATTTTTTAATCTTGCCCAAGTTTTTGTTGGAAATGTTTGTAAATCATAAAAAGAATGATGCCAGGTGACTAGATAGAAAGTTATGAACAAAGCCAAAATAACACAATTATAGGGGCAAAGTGGGGATTAGGGGCATACTAATGCAAAGAACCTAAAAAGTTGACTTGGACTTACTAAAAGATTTCCCTAGGCACAAGCTGGTTCATAAACTTGACTTAACAATGCTATAACATTCAGATTTTTTTCCTAATTTTGCATTTAATTTCCAGGTATCTACAATATACTCTCCTGCTTTAAAAAGTGTGATTGGAGGCTTGGACAGCTGAAGCTTTAGCATTAAGAGGGCTAAATCCAGATCCCCTGTTGACGCAGGCAGTGCAGATGGTGAATTAAAATTCCTCAAGCCCTTAAGAAAGCTCTGGAAAAGGAACTGTGAAAAGATGGCTTGTCACTGATTAGGTGATAAGCCGCTAATGTAGCAAAGTGGATTTTAATGGATGAAATAGATAGGTCACCACCTTTTAGGTGCAAATGAACAAGGATCCGAAGAGGAAAAGCAAACAAGCTAACCACAGTGACCATTTCAACTCCTGCCCCTTTATGTCCCTAGTCACTTTCCCCAGTCCTCAAAAGGATGCATATCTTACTCCTACTCCCCACTTATTTCTTAGCTTCATACCTTCTGCAATACTGCCTGATGATTGGAATATTTTCCACCTTTTAACAGTTTTAATTCTCAAGGCCCTCCTCATTAGTAACTCCTTTCCAAACCCTGCTCAATTAAACCTCAACTCCTTATAGATTACCATTTGCTACTCATCAACTTCTTCCCTTTTCTAGCCTAGCACACTGTTGGGACTAGGGATACCATGGAGAGAATCCTCCCGAGAGTTTGGTGTGAGAATCCCAAATTCTCTTCCCCACTCAAATCAAAATGCAAATGGTTAGAAAATTCTGTTTCCACTGTGCTCTTGTTCCCTCACCTGAACTGTCTCATCTTCCCATGTCTATTATAGTGGGGTACAAGAACAGCAGAGGCAAAAATGGGGAAAGAGCACTTCTCCCATTCATTGTCCTATTAAAGACATAAAAGAACCGCTGAAATAACTACCCCCGCTATACACTCCATCCCATCACTTAAATAAAAGGAAAGCGAGGAGAGGCAGTGGGATAATAGCCTCTTGTTGCATATTACATGAGTAGAGCCAGCTGGAGCCAGAGGTCAGAATAGATGGCTGGGGAGGCCCCTTCTGACTCACTGTATTTCCATGTTTCTCCTCTTGCTGAAGATCAAGACACACTGAGTTACATTTGCACCATCAAGCCCCCATGTGACTTACTCTGCTCCCACTGCAGTTTTATAACTAGTGTTTGTGTAGCGGCAACTAGGTGAGAAAAATCACAGAAACAAGTGTGAATTCTGTAACTATTCCAAATTTTAGAAACCAAAGCGCTGATCCTAACTTTCTAAGTACGCATGAACTCTAAATTATCTTTTAAACTGCCCCCTTTAATTAGCTGTGCTGATGTACTGTTAGCCAAATACCTAGAAAAATGTATTTGCTATCAGTATTTATATCTGTATAGAATGCATACTAAGTACATTTATGATTGTGTTGGTTTTGCCAAGGAGTCAAGACTTAAAATTACTACTTATCTCAAATCTGATTTGATAAGGACCCTCTAGCACTTGTAAGTTTGTATTCTTTATCACCTATAGTTACTGATGCAATTTTTGCCATACCTACTTTATTTTAGTAAGACTAAGTAGTAGGAATCAGTGTTTACCAAAAGTTTTAAAACGTTTATTTTCAAGAATTAAAAAAAATCCTCACAACATTCATACCAGAAAAAATTGTGACCTGAGCATATCTTTTGAGGAACAATTTTGCTGCTTGTATCAGTTTCTTGTTCTAAAGCACAGGGATCAACTCACACATATGGTTTCTGGATCATTATACACACAGGTGTGCAAAGGCGCACATACACACACACACACATGGGGGAAGGGAGGGGGAAGAGAGAAATTAAAACTACAGCCATGCATAGATTTCAGGCAGTTTTCTGTGTTCGGCAGCAAAAGCCCAAGGCAAGTCTTAAAAGTCTTGCTGGATGTTTTCTTTATTTGCCTCTCCATGTTGCTGCTTAATTTGAGAAATTTCATTTTCCAACTGTACAATAGTTCGTTCAATCTCATAGTTTTTACTAACCAAGGACACCCATCTGGAAAAAAACAAACAGAAAAGCCAGACATAAATTACTGTTCAAGTTTTCTCAGAGCCACAGAATCGATAAGGGAACTGTTGGACATTTGGCTACATGAAAGAAGAACTCATCAAGATAGTAAGAACATGACAGAATCAGGAAAAGGCAAGCCTGTGTAATAGGCATAGTGATACCCCAAAGGGCAAAAAGGGAGGGAAGTAACAGAGCAGGTGCTAATAGGTACAGTGTAGCAAACAAAGGCAGATGTTTAGTCAGAGTCTTATGAACTATAACTGTGGGTAGAAAAGAACATGAGAAGGAACCGAAAGGGATGTAATAAGGTGACGGCTTTAAGATCAACACATTATCACTATGCAGGAATGAAAAACTACATGGACCAGCTGTAGCAAGTGGTGTGCATTTATGATCTTTTTTCATTCTCATGCCAAACCCCCACTTATCCTTGTCTCTGCGCACACATCAGCCTGCTTCTGCTTCTCATTAAGCATTTTCAGAGTAAGCGGGATATTTGTGGTTTACAGTTGGGAAAGATATATGAGTAAAACTGGCAAGATAGATACAGAACCCAGTATTTCTGCTGGTAACTTACTAATTTTAAAACATGTCCAAATTACTTAATGTATGACACCAGCAATTCTAACTGCTTTGGGTTAGAGCACAAGATTTTTCCTGGTATTGTTCAGCTTCCATATGTAGGTAGCTCCTATTACATTAAATTAATTCTGACTGATTAAGATGCATACATACCAGAGAACTTTCAAATGATCTCTGATAACTTGCTCCTGATAAAATTTCAAAAATTATTTCTTGTTATATTTTTTTCAGTCTGCATTAGTCAGTGGTCATGCATTCTCTCCCCCTCTCTCGCTCTCTCTCTCACTGTGTGTTTGTGTATGTGTGTGGGTGCAACAGCAAATCTAAGAAGCAACAATTTTGCAATGGCATTGTCTTATAGTTTCTGTTTTCAGAGATGGAAACACAGAAGGGAAAGGATTTTGAGGCACCTTAGGTTAAAACAACTGCCCGTACGGAAGTCATTCCCACAATCAGAACAGACTTATGAAACAAAGTAGTAGACACTCACGTAGATTCCATCTCCCGAAGTTTGGCACCAGCTGTGAGTTGCATGTTCTTCCGCTGCCAGTTAAGGTCCTGAATGTGCTTCCTGGAAGAATAAAGCAATGTATCAATCACTTACAATCATTTACTCTTCTGTTCAAGACCAGTTGAGAGGAGCAGAAAGGACCCCGTACAATCTGCTGAGAAACAATTTTAGGGTTATGAAAGATTCCATAGCAGAAGACTGCAAGGTGACAATTTATTGTTGTTGCTATGTGCCATCAAGTTGTCTCTGACTTATGGCAACCTTATGAATGAAAGCTCTCCAAAATGTCCCATCCATGACAGACCTGTTTAGTTCTGGTAAATTCCAGGCTGTGGCTTCCTTTATAGAGTTGATCCATATTATAGTTGGAAAGTATCACAATGTAACAATTAAAATCAGGAAGCAGCTCAGAAATTTGTTTCATATTAATTTCAAGTGGCTTCAAACTCCATAAGTTCCATTATCTAGATTATATTGTCAACAGTACTTCATTTACACCATTTATTCCCCACAACAACCCTGCGAAGTAGCATGGGCTGACAGTCAGTGACTGGCCCAAACTAGCCCACTGAGCACCATACCCTAAGTAGGGACTAAAACATGGCTTTCCCAAGTCCTAGCCCAACACTCTAACCACTATACCACACTGGCTCACTGCTTTATGGGAGTGGTTCCCAGCCTTGCTTCCTTATATGTTGGACTAAAACTCCCATAATCACAAACCAGCACGGTCAATGATCAGGAAGTATGGGAGTAGCAGTTCAGCTGGGGAATCAAGATTAGGAACTATTGTTCTGTGATGTGGAGGGCAGAAACAAGGACGGACATATATTTCATTTAGAATGATGCAAAGAGTGTGCATAGCATCCATTTAAGACAATCCTCAATTAAAACTGTTGGCAGATTCACTTTTGTATTATTCACAAAGCTCTCTGCTTGCAAGCATCACAAAGGTGACAGCTTGGCCACTGTGGGGACAGGCTACTGGGCTAGACGGGCTTTTGTACAGGCTGATCCAGCACACTGTCTTTTGTCCTTCTTTTGTCATTTAGGAAAAGTTAAGTCAGCTTCTTCCCCAGCAACATGCTTCTCCAGAAAATAACCTAAAGGGAATGGAGAATCATATTGTTTGTTGAGTCCTGATAATATTGTTACAATAATGTAAGTTATTGAATCAGGACTGAAGAATCAGGTCATCCACCTTTTTTCTCTGAAAGGTGGATGACCCACAATCTTTTTTTTAATTGGGGAGAGAGCCAAACTGAAAAGGAGGAAATATTTCAGCACACATGGCCTGTCATCCCCTTTCCTCTCTCCTCTCATTGAAATTACAGGGGATTTACCCATCTTATTGAATCGTGACTTTTTTGCTCTGCAGGATCATTTGCAGAAGGGTTCCTGCATACCTTCTATCCCCACTCTCCAGCACCTTACTTTAGAGCAGCAGTCCTATTCAATAACCATCCCAGGGCAGCCTAGAAAATGAAGTCTTCTTTCCTCCACAACATTGTATCTTAAGGAAGTCAACCTCTTCCTGCATGCTGAGTAAGACTGGAGCTATAATCTCCAAGATGCATTTGCACTTCTCTATCCATGCAGCAAACTCCATTTCCACACTCCACGTATTTCTGCAGCCAGCATAATTAAGACAGGGGGAGAGTTCCGCATACATGGCTTAATGCTTCAGTAAGTGGGCAAGTAGCAAACATTCAGCAAACATTAAGATTGATTTAAACCACTGATTTAAATCAAGTTTCACACTGATATTGCCTAAGCAAACCATGCAAATTTGCAACTAAATATAGTATCTATACTGCTTTATTCTTATAACCAGGCTATGCAACATTGAACACATTTTGCAAGCTTAAAAAAGCCCTTTATTATATTGCATTTTTATTCTGTCTTTTCTCTTCTTGTGAGGCACCCAAGGCTTATATAGCTCAACAACCCTGTAAGGTAGATTAGGCTGCGAGTGTGTGATTGACCCAAAGTCACCCAGTAAGCTTCAAGGATTACGTGGGAACTAGAACCTGGTCCTGGGTTCCTTGTCCAAAACTGTAATCAGCACATTACATTATCTGTCTTTAAAATATTCCTGTATGTCCAGCATCCATGACTGTCTGAGCAGTTAAGTAAGGCTTTGGGGCTACAGAGTAGCTTAAAGAGAAGTGAGGCTACACCGGGATATGAGGAACCCTGGCAATCCCCTTCTCCTTGCATAAGACAAAAGACAGCCACACAGAGGCAATCCTTGCCTTCACATTGTTGGTGCACTCAACTAGATGCCTGTAATCCTCCAAGTTCAGAGGGTTATGGGCAGCTGCACGGGATGGTGTCCTCCATATGGGAACATAGGAAGTTGCCCACCAAGCAACCTTGTTTCCTCTTTTTCCTGGTGTTGCTTTTTTCTGCTTCAGACCTTGGCCCAGCAACATACCCACAAACGTGCAGTAGCAAGCAAAATTAGATGGCCATGATTGAAAGTTACTAAGCAAACTAAAACATTTACTATTCATCAGGTGAAAACGAAGTGACTATGCCCAGTAAGCAGAGCATCAAGTATTTGTATTAGAGTAGGGATCAAATTTCATTTATATTAAAAAAAAAAACACCTTAATTACCTCAATGACTTGGTTTGCATGTAACAATCCACCAGTTTTTAAAACTTTTTTTAAAGGGTTGTCAGAGAAGTATGTGCATGCTGCCTGCAGTGCACCCATGGCTTCTACTCTATAGCACAAACTCACAATTTCTAATACCAGAAAACAAAGCTCAGAAAAGAGTGGGATTGGTCACATTGTAGGATCATGGAGGGAATAAACATGTCAAACACACACACGAACGTAGAATTCAAGATGCTCACACTGTACTAGATTCCACAATGGGCAAATATCAAAACTGCTACTGCTCATATATTAGGATTCTTTTCTGTTTGAACAGAAAAAGCAGGACTTACCTCAGACTTTGAAGCTCTTTTTGTGCCTGTTCAATCATATGAACTAAATGCCTATAAAAATAAAACAAACATTAATTCATGGGATGTGTTTGCGTGATGAAACAATTCACTTGTTACAGCCACCATGGCAGCTTGTTGTGTTATCTGAACCAGATCTGTTTCACATAATACTCATCTAATTACATTAACTGTTGTAAGGCATCTAGTTGAAGTTTATGCTGCATTACCTTGTAATAGTTGGATTCCATAAAAAAGTAGAGCTTACATGAACAATTTTATTGAGTATTAGATCTAAATACTTTATATATCTAATACTCAGTACAAAAGCAGCCCAGAAAGCCCTCAGGCTATGGGGTGGCATACAAGTGTCACAAATAAATAGTAGAAGAAGAAAAAGAATAAAAAATAGAGCTATTGTAAATCCTTGCTCCAAATGTTTCTGAGAAATCCTTTCAGTTATTTGCTGTACCTTTTCAACTTAAACACATTCAAGGTCAGATGCAGAAATAAAGACAGAATTAGCCACTCTCAGTAAAGGTTGACCATAAGGAGAAAAGGACAAAGCAAAAAATAAGGTGGCAGCATCATTTTGGGTAAATGTGCAGCTTAACACATCAGATCCATTGAAAGAAGCAATAAAACAGATTTTAAACTTCTATGCTATAATACAATGCCATTTTTATTTTACAGCTCTCCTTTTTTAAAATGCAAATATGTTACTCTTAGGAATGAGTGGTAAATTCAGGTCTCAGTAGCAGGAATGTGTTCCACATTCCATTATATAGCACACAAAGACAGCATTTCCTGTACAATGGCTTCCAACAATGGTTTTAATTTAGCAGTGCCATTTGGGTAGCATTACTAAGGATATGTTTTAAAAATCCTGAGAAACTTGAAGCAAACTATAAAGTTTTCCAACTAATTCACTTCAAGGAATGATTGAAGGTATAAAAAGTAACATACTCATTGTATACTTTCCAGGCATTGCAGCCATACTGAGACATCAACTCTAAATTCTCAATTCTAACTGCTTGGTGTTCCAGCTGAGCCATTGAATTATTAACACATTCCTGCCATGCTGTGATGTCATTCTTCTGCCCAGAAGAGGGCGCAGGCAATTCATATCTGTATGAAAAATAAAGCAAAAACAAAAAAATACTGCCCCTGAATAAGACTATGCAGTTGCAAATTTAACCTAGTCACATGTTACCCATGTCAATAGCTGATTTTTTTCAGTGAAAGATACAAATAAATCGGTTTGGTCAAATAACCTACCAAGAAGTAAACATTATTTAAAATACTTGGAGATTACAGTATCAACAAATGTAGTTCTAGCTGAGGGAACAACAAATGTAGTTCTACAGCTACACTAATCTAGCTGTAGTTCTAGCTGTATTACCCAGTCTCTGCTTTTTCCATTGTCACTGACATGATATACAAGCATCTCCTTGCTAAGATGATGAATTATAACTCCATAAGTTAGACCAAAAGTTTTCTTGTCTGTATACTCTTGCTTCAACTATTATTTCAGTAGACTGCCATCATGAGGCAAGCAATGGAATGTTCTTTTTTTAATACTTCTCAAAGATTACACCTTCAAACTGTTCTTGTACTGTTCTTGGTTTTTCCGTAACATAGAAGTCCCAAGATTTACCTTTTCATGCTCAGCAATTCGATCGGCTGGCGGGCTGCTAGACGTTCAAACTCATTCCGCATTATTTCAGTCTATGGATTAAATTCACAAGGAATCAATTGTGGCCAAGAAAAAAAAAATAGAAACTTCTAATTATTGCCAGACTTAACAAACAAGAATCTAGAGCATTGTTTCTCCAAACATCCAATAGCAGTGGCACACATTTTCCTGAATGATGGGAAGCTTCACTCACACACTCAAAGGAATTTACTTTTGAAACACCTGCCCTCAGTGATGCTCACCCATATGTTCCTGTTGGAGTTACTAATCTAGGGTTGCACCTGATTAAAAGGAGACTGTGGAGAACTATTATATATGCAGAAGCACACGGGGTAAATTCTCCTGAAGGTGGGAAATTTTGTGTATTGTGTATATCAGTGTACTGCTATTCATCCAATGCTTTATTAAACCCTGATATAAGAATGGGACAGAATTACCCTTTTGCAGCAGAAGTTAGCTAGAAAGAGGGTGGTGAAAGCAGAAAAGTACAGAGCACCATTCTCTCTGTGTTTATATTCTGGACTAATAGGAGCTTATGAGTACCCATTTCTCAATGCACAGTAACTTGATCAGGCATTATTTATGCCAGTAATTCCTGAAGTCTAAAATCTGAAATGGAGAATCATCTCACCTAAAAGTTCTCCATCTGAGTGTTCTCTTGGCAGTTGTCCACAAAACAACAAGTCTTACAGCTGCAATGTTATGCACAACTTCCAGGAAGTAAATTACACTCAGTATAGTAAGACACAGTGCAATCCTATGCAGAGGGGGAAAATTCTACCTTCCCCAGACAGTCATGGGAGTTGCAGAACTTTTTTTCAGTCTAAACATGCATAGGATCACATCTTCAGTGATTAGAAAATAAATTTGAATTATAATTGTAAAATTAGCTTTTGTGGCCTAAAATCTTACTTCATCAGATGCATGATGCAACATTCTCAGTTATGCCAGTCAAAAGTGATAGTACAGTCCACAACAAATCTGTCAATCATTTAAGGTGCCATGAGACTCATTTTGAAAGATTGCCCTAATCTGGCTATTCCTCTGGAATGTCTAGCCATACTCAGAAGCACTTCATATGGTCTAGGGATCAGCTGAAACTCCAAAAACAGGCCCATATTATAGGGATTTTTAGAAAATATTTTAAGACTTTGCTCTTTTCTTTTTTACAGCTCCTTATAGCCGAGATCCATCCTCTGGAATTCAGTTGTCCAAAATCTTCACACCAGCCAGCTTGTTTGCAAAGTCTTTGCAAGAGAAGTAAGATCAGTCTCAGATGCAGAACATGTATCTATGGCACTGATTCTATCCTACAGTAAAAGATGTTATCCCTTCTTTATCTGGTACTTTCCACAAGCTGTCTTTCACACACCCAATATTTATGTCCCCTAATCCCAAGCTCCACTACTTTGCAGGTGCCCCCTTTGGTCCTAAACATCCCAAGAAATGTAACTGTCAAGCCCAAGAAGCCACATGTATATAACCCAGAGAAACAAACTAAAACCTTACAATGGATACCAACAAACTAGGTAAAAGCATTCCATATGGTCAAACCACTTTCTTTAAAAAATGAAGGTCACAATTCTATACATGCTTAGGCAGAAAAAAAGTCTTTAAACTCCCAGCATTCCCTGGTCAATATGGTTAGCTGGAACATACTGAGAGTTGTACATTTTTCCCCTAATACTAAATACAAATATATAAAATGTTTGGCCTGAGTCACTGATCAGTCATCAATTGCTTCCTTAGCTGTTTAATCTATACTCCTCTTTTTCAATACTAACGAAGTGCAACTACTTTGTGCAATACACAGTTTTCTGTGAGCCATTAAGTTGGCCATGAATTTACAAGGTGGCCCTAAGAAAGCTACAATTTTTTCAGACTCAACTCTAGTTATTCACAAAAAAGGGATCATACTCTTTGTCCTATTTTATAGGAATCCCACAAGGATTGCTGAAAGTAATATATTTGAAATGATTTGAATGCTATATAAACACTGTATTATACATGTTATTTTATTAATTATTTATTTCATTTCTATACTGCCCAATAGACAAAAGACTCTCTTGGCATACTTCTGCCTCACTGCTCAGATGGTTATGTATTGTGTGTATCAGTCATAACTTTTCTAAAATGCTTTCTACAACAAATAAAGTTTAGTACTTTAAATTCTCCGTTATTTTCTTATCCTGGTACATTTCCAGATTTCCCATATGCCCTGGAGAAATACACAGTCCTGAAGTTTTATTTTAGTGAACTTTTATAGGTTGCCATTCTTAAAATACATTTTTTAGCCTTTAAAGATGGCTAAGTTTATTATTGTAAATTTTTTCATTGGAAACCATTTGGAATAATTTATAGGGAAGAACCCAAATATACTAGATATTGTCTTGTCTCAATAAGTAATCCCTAAGAATAAAGAGGTGCCTCTCCAGGATTCTTAAGAACCTTGTTGAAGCATACAAATTTTCTATCTTGTTCAGCATTCTGTTCTTTCAGTAGCCAGCCAACTGCCTTTGGAAGCCCACAAGCAAGCAAAAGGGAAATAGCATCCTCCTCCTCCTCCTGTCCCCCAGTACAAATAAGCAAACTGCCCTCAATATTGTGATTATTAGTCATTAATGGACTTATTTTCCAAAGAGCTGTCTAAACCCCTTTTAAAGCCACCCATGTTGATGGCCATCTCTACACCATGTGCTAATGAATTTCACAGATTAACTATGTATCATTTGGTGTAACTTACTTTCACTTGTCCTAAACCCCCCACCTCCACCAATCAGCTTCAAGAAAACCCTGGGCTCTAGTACTATGACAAACATCTTCAATCCTGACTTGCAGATAACTATTCTCTGGAAGTTTTCTCTCCACATGCATATGGTCAGTTATTCAAGGCTGACCAAAGCTATTCAGCAGGGAATAAAACTCACACCAAACAAATAATCTTGCGATATCTCAAAGTTTAGTAATTTCTTAAGATACAAGCTTCTGCAGAACAGAGTCCACTTTATTAGATGCACAAATTACTCCTTAGCTCTCCTAGCCCAAGACACTTGTCACAATAAACTCATTAGCTCTGCTTGCTGTTAGCTCTTTTTGTGCTTACTATAACAAACCAATCTCTCCAGAATTCCTAAAAATGCTCATGCCAAATTCATGAAGAAAAAAGTTATTAATGGTTTCTAGTGCTGACAGCTATATACTACCTCCAGTATCAGGCCATGTCTAAGTATATATACTCAGTGCAGCTGGTTATAAGAAATCTAGACCAAATGGGCCCTTGCTCTGATCCAGCAGGGCTTTTCCTATGTTTTTAAGAGGAACTTCCTACACTCTTCCAATGTTCCATTTAGTAACACAGAAAAGGTTCTCAAGTCAAACTCCTGTTCAGATCTTGTGCCCTTGTTCACACTGAGCTGAACAGTGCAGGTCCTTCCTCACCTCGAAAGCGCTGTAGTCCGGCGCAGGCAGGTAACTCAGGTAGTTCTTGGTGGGTCGGTAGCGCCGCGTCTCCTCCTCCACGAGCGCCGCGGCCTAGACGGATGAGCGGACGGACATCAAGATAAAGGCGTATCCTACGTGTGTTTACACATGAAAAAAGTCCTGAAAGTCCCAGCATTCCCAGCCAGCAGAACAGGGAGCTATAAGGCTTTCCCCATATCGCAGCACCTACAGGATGGAACCCTTACTAAATCAGCGCCTCGGAGAGGCTCGGGGTAGTCCCAAGCCACCTTCCCCTTTGCCCAGCCGCGTCACACTCACCGCCTCCCGGACGCCCGGCGCCTCATAGCCCTGGTCAAAATAGGGCAGAGCATCTACAGCAACTTCGCCAGCCACTAGACCCGGCCCAGACATGTCGTACCGCACGACGAACAACCCGCTCGCTGCTCAAACCCAATTGCACTGCGCCTGCTCCGTTTCCGCCGCCTTCTCCCCGCCTCCCCTGTCAAAGCGCCTGCGCAGATAGAAAGCCCCGGCGGCGCTCCAGCTTTGTGGGGTGAGGGAGAAATAGCTCCTCCCATCTGCGCCTGCGCCAATTTTTCCCACCTACTCTCGTGGCTTCCTCGCTTTCTGTTGATTTAGTTCTAACAACATGCAAACACAACTAGCGTTTTAGAAATGGCCTGGTGATGACACGCCTGGGATTTCTAGAACAACCTTCCCGAACCTGGTGGCCTTCAGAAGCATTTGGACCGCAACTCCCAGAATTCCCATCCAGCAGGTCCATTGACTGGGAATTCTGGGTGTTGCAGTCCAAATGCCACCAGGTTGGGGAAGGCTGTTCAAGAAGACCGACAATCTAACATCCGTTACTCAGCTGCAAATGCAGCTGATTTTAACCAGAGTCTCACCGCTATGCGGGACTAACGGTCCAAAGATGTTTATTATAATCCCCGGAAAAAGAAATCAGCATGATGCAAGAATTAGGAGAGATAAGGAACTGTGGCTAGGGGAGCATTCCAGCAACTCTTCTTGGTACTACTAAGCACTGCTCTGGAGACACAACAGGTTGGCCAGCATTAGATTCAAGCTCCATAACTGCTGTATGGGTGCAACCTCGTCTTGCTGACAGGGGTATTTGAAAAATCTTTTATTTTGGGTTAAATACCCTAGAGGGGTCTTGTGCAAACTGCTTCCCTGCAGATATGTTGGACTTCAATTCCCAGCTGCAGGCTTCTATGCTTAAAGTAGTTGTCTGACACACCTGGAGAGGCTGATCTGGAGTGAGTACTTTAAGCAAGATAAGGGTGTTGTCTGCTACACCTTAGACCAGAAAACCCTAGGCTGCAGAGAAGCTCAGTCAATGTAGATTTTTAGGGGGAAAAATCAGTAACTCTGCCAATGTTGTATTATGAAAATCTGTGGCTATAAAGTACCAGGTGTTAGTCTGTTTGATAATCGAACTCTGATCTCAAGATAGGGCTAGGTATGGATATCTTAACTGTTCTGCCACCTGTGGACCTCCTGAATAAACTACAAGTTGATACCCTCTGTTCTGGTGCTTATAGAAGCAAGATAGGCAAAATAATTTTTACAGCACGAAAAGCTGGAAACTGCCTCTAATGCAGCAGTTTTAGCAATCTCAGAAGCCATACATCCTTGTACTATTATGTATCAAGATGTCAAGTGAAGAAACTTCTGTTAACTGCATGCACAAATAAGAACGGCCCTCTACAGGGGTCTTGCCATTTGGTTATTTAGGGATTTAAAAGGTTAGTCTCCAAACACATGGAATCATGTCTATAAAGCTATGGCATTACAGGTACAGGCAGTCACTCTGGAATAACACACTTGCATCAAAATTATTTAGAACACAGTTCATAATCTTCTGCACACACTGTTGCTTCCAGACACTAATGCAGAACTCCACTGCTTCCAAAATTCCACTTCTAGTAAGGTTATCACATATCTGCTCTCTCCCCATTTCAAGAGCTGGACCTTTCAGGGAAAACCAGAGGTATAAAGAATACTGGATGCATAGCATTGACAGAACAAAGTGATGGTTCAATACACACCAAAAAAGGAGCATATTTTATTTGAACTTGTTCCTGAAAGAACCTGGTTTATTTTGGTTCAGTTACTGTACATACAATTTTGGTTTCATCTATACACCACAGAATATGGCTTGATTCACACTGAGCAGAACAGACTTAAATTAAAAACAAAAACAAAAAAGCACACCACACAGGAGAAAGACCAGCACCAAGAAGTACAGATGGTCTGAAGGTTTCCTGGATATGATGGAAAGGTATGTATTTCCTATCTAGCTGTGTGCAATAGTGTCAGTGGAATTATAAAAATTAGGGTTATATACCCTGGGGGCTAAATTAACTCCCTATTTTCTAAAAGTGGACATGAACAACAAAATAAGTTTCCTTCCTGCCCTCTGATCAAGTGCAGCTTAGTTTTGAGTGCTGAAACATACTATTCAATCAGTGATTAATTCTTGCTTCCTCTTATCAAGAAACTAATTCAAGAGTGGCAACAGTAAAGATTCAAAACAACTGCAACAGCAAACCAAGTAAAACAGTGGCCCTAAATATGTGACCAACAAGGTCTTTTAGGTGCCATTAAGTTCACAGTACTTATTCTAAAGCAGCTAGGAATGAGGAAAATGAGGACCTCCAGATGTCACTTGGACTGCAATTCGCATCATATCTCACCATTGGGTATTCTGCCTAAGGTTGATGGAAGTTGCAGTTCACTTAACTAGAAGGCCACACATTCTCCATTCCCGCTAAGACTAAAAACCTTTGTGTACTGTATTTGGAGGGAACTATTTTGGGGTAAATGTGGATGGGGTGCCCTGTTGGCCTTGCACAACTGGACCTAGAAAGAAATCATTTTCAGGCCTCCTGATACACTCCTGCATCCAATGACAGATCACTGGGACCAAGTTTTTGCCAATTCTTTCTGCCAGAAACATTGTAGGCACAGCTGGGAATTCAGACCACATGCAAAAACTTTTTACATGAGCTCTGCTACAATTTTTCTCACCCCGCCCCTCACCTTTTCTTTCCTTTTTGGTCTGGTCCATTTTGTGTGTTGCAAAAAATAGCATTCAGGATCTCTCCCCAGAATAAGCAGCAGATTTCAGATACAGGTAATCAACATAGAAACATATGGACCCCAAATCCATATTTCATCCTAATCTGGGGGGCTGTTTAGCTGTGTGGCAGAGAAAGACTAATCCAGTGCACCAGCGTACAACATTTCAATGTGTCAAAAGAATCACTCTTATTTGGCAATTTTGACTTAGTCCAAGGCCACATAAAAGTTCTATTTATCCTGAGTTCATTTGTTCTGTGTAAACATACGGTAAAGCTTCATTGGAAAGTAACCAGTGACACATGACAGGTCCGCAGAGGCACTGGAGTAGTTTAGTAAGACAAATGACAATCTATCATAATAGCTTAACTTCAGGGAACATGTATTTGTTATTAGAAACTATAAACTGCTGTTTCAAATGGTATGCAAGCCACAGAGGAGCTGGAATACAGTGTGCAGCATTTGATCTCTTTCCTGTAATGGTGGCTACCAAGATAGCATTTCTTAAAAGCAGGTAACAGACCTAGGTTTAGAGGAGGAGGAAAATGTTTTAGTTGGATGTTCAATATCTGAGGGAGAACTATTTCTATCCCACACAGGTTTCACAGCAAAATGCAGTTATAAGAAGCTTGCTTATCTTTTTAGAGTGGCTCTGTATCAAACCCCGCTCTTTGTAATGCCACTGTAAAAGTCTTCATGTCTCCCAATTGGGATCAAAGGGCATTTTCCTAACAAGTAAACATCACTCTTCTGTAAGGTAAATCCCATGGTGTAATGGAGATGAGTTTGTAAAAAGTCCAAACAACATGTATGTTTGCAGCAACTGACAGAGGCCGAGGTTTTTGCAGCATAAAACCAAAGTATCAAACAGGTGGATGTTCTTCTTTTGCTGTTAATACCTGCAAAACAGAAGGCTTTGCAATACATAAGTAAAGCCAATGGTTTGAGAAAACATAGCTGAACTAAGGCCAACAGCAGAGAACATAACTGGGTGACATAATAGATGAGGATGGTTGAACTGCTTCTACCAAGTTTACCTTTCCAGTTATATGGGCCCTTTTCCTTGCACAAAATATCTCTACAGTACAGTATCAGCATAGATCAATTGCTGGATTCATGCTGTTTTCCATAGTTAGTTCCACTGTATAAAGGGCATCAATTTAGCCCCAGGATTGCTCTGAGCAGGAATCATATATATATATATTTTTTAAAAAATTATATTTGAGGATGAAGGGAAGGTCTCTTCAGGCCAAGCAGCATAAACAGGGATACAATCCATACAGTTAATTGTGTTCCCCTTGCAGACCAGTTCCACAGTTGAAGAAACCCAGTTTCTCCCAGTAATACTCCAGTTGGACCAGGTAGAGCAAACATTGAGAATTCCACTCTGGTTTTGGGTTCTCTTTCCCAGTTGGATGAAGCTCTTCTGAGCGAAGTCCAAAAATTCCCGATACCACGCAACAGCCAATGCAGTGCCACATCATTATGGCTTGTTTGGAACTTAAAATCATGCTTAGCAGCAATTTTGTACTCGGCTTCTCACTTTTTTTGTAGAAATTTCATTTTATTACCTAAAAGAAAAATATATAAAGATCAAGACTTAGATTAGTAAGTTTATTTGTGCAAATCTTGCCTTGCCATGGTACCTGATGTCATTTATAAGTAACAGAATAAATGCATCTTCAGTGTGGTATAGTGGTTAAGAGTGCAATCTGGGCTCAGGTGATTTGGGTTGTAGTCCCTGCTCAGCTAGAGAGTCAACTGGGTTACTCTGGACCAGTCCCAGACTCTCAGCCCAACCCACCTCACAGGGTTGTTTTGTGAGGATAAGACTGAGAGCATCAGGAAGAGAATGAGGTAAGCTGCTTTCATTTTGTTTTAAGAAAAAAGCAGGATATAAATCTAATAAATAAATATTTTAAAGGAAATAAGCCACGGAACTGCACAGATAGCTCTGCATGCCTAAGGGAATTTTAGGCTGAAATCTTTATGCATATTTAGACAGAAAAAAGTCTGCATTCCCCAACCATCCATGCTGGCTCAGCAATGGTGGGACTTAATTTTTTCCTATACTTATAAGTTCTATAGTTGTAAGTTATTTGTCCTATGCACAAAGGGGAACAGACACACATGAAACAGGCAGCTTTGCAAAGAAAGTTCGTATGAAGCTCAGCTCAGTTTCCACCAGAATTCTAGCAAAAGAAGAGTATCATCAAGTCTGTAAGTGTTTCTCAAACAGATAGTTATACACATCACAAGTAACCAAGACAGCAAAGACTAAAGCAGATCATTATTTACCCAGACTGCGAAGGATTTTGTTCATTCCACTGGGCTCAGATTCAGGAATGGTCTCCAAATATTCCAAAGCACGGACTTCGAACAAGCCTAGAAAAGGAAAATGTCACTTAAGGTGCCATCCTATACAAGTCTGAACAGAAAAATGCTTACACCTCTCAACAAGCTGGGAGAACTAGGCCATTTTTCTGCCTCAACTTGCATGGGATTGCCTCCTAAATCACACACTTTTCTGCAGCATACTGTTCTTTTTACACTTTGTTTCAATAATGCAGTTGCAAACAAAAAAAAAATTCAACTGAGAAAAATCTGAATTCTGTTCTGACATATGTATAGGACCTCTGAAAATGGAAGGCAATGTCTCAGTTCTGCAGCATGGCATGCCAACTGTAATACATTTACTGTGATATGTAAATATCAGCTTCCTGTCTAAAAATAAGGGAAGAGCCTATGACCCAAATAAGCCTACTGTGATCATACCATCACATTCTGGGTTACAGGGGAGTTGTTAAGTTTTCCATCCTTTACCCTCTCAGTGGGTAAATTTGGGGATAGCTCACCTTCAGTGAAGTAAACATTTTTACACCTGGCAAGACAGTCATATCTTTGAGAGCAGCCTACTGACATTCATTGTATTGCTGAGAGATGCCTTAAAGGGAACAGGAAGCTTAGACAAATTATTAAACCACTGAGCCACTGCACTCTTCCAGAACTAGTGAATAAAAATGCTTTTGTTGGTGGTGCAAATCAACCATCCATTTTTACAGGTTCAGAAGATACAAGAACTCACAACACTCCTCTACAGTTAGAAGACAGCTTCCAGACTGAGCAAGAAGACAGAGTGGTCTGCAAGCATAAAGGAGTTCCAGATTTCTACCATTTTTGTTCTTTGATTCTATTCCAGATTTGTACCATTTGGCAGGTCTCACCTTTAACTCCACTCTTTCGCAGCTCTCGATCCTGTATGAAACCAGCAAACATTTGCGTCTCCATGAAGATGTCTAGGAAATGACGCACATTGCGGGAGGTGTGGGACTTCCGGAAGGGCTCTCGCTGGAATACACGCTCCCCTTTCTCAGTGACGTTCATGTGCAAGGAATAGTGCCCCACAATCTCCACAAAAAAGCGCACAAAAGCCTCTGAAACAAGGGAGTCCAGGGACACATCACCTAATACAAAACACACAAAAGCAGTCACATCTCCTTTCTGGAGAAAGCAATCTGTACTTCTTTCCCAGACACTATACAAAGCGCACCCAACCTATTAGCTGGGTTGGAGACAACACCTCACACAACTGAAAGACTGATAACAAAATTTAACATAACTCGGGACATCAGCAGTTACAGCAGCTGCAGTGGTTGCACTCCAGTACCAAATTAAGGGCAGTAGCATAACCACAAACATCAGCACCAGAAGATGCCCAGCAGCAAAGACAGGCCTGGCAGTTCCAGTGCCCACATTTCTCTTGCAAAAGCAACAGGGTGTATGTGCACTTCGCTGGGGATAAGCAGTGGGCACTGTGCTGGTGTGCATGCTTAACGCTTTCCCAGTCACTGATTTTCCCTTGCAATCTCCCCTCCCTCTACCACCAATGAAGAGTCAAACCCCCTCCTGCCAGTTCTCCACTGCCCTTGCTTTCTCACCACGTACACACATGCCACACTGTAGTAGAGACATCTGAGGTTTTCTAGACTCCTGCTTGTCTAGTTTCATACAGATGTGGCTTCTGAACACTCTTCCATCAATTAAAACCTTTACTCTCCAAGGTTATAGAGCTAATGGCAGCCACTCCTACCACATATAACAGCTATCGGCAGTCTCTGGAACTGTGGCATGGGAAGCAAAGATGTTAAAAGCCTCCAGTCATGCAGCAGTCAATACAGGGCCCTCTCACAGCTGCTATGTACAGCAAAATAAAAATGGAGCACAAGTGAAGTGTTTAATGTAAGAGACTGGTCATCATGACTGAGGAGGACCAAGGTGAGTATGAAAGCTTAGCTTCCATTTTGCCAATTAGGCTTGTCCTAGAGGAAAAGGAGTATCTGCCTTTCCAGGAATATTTCTGTTGCCCCCAGTATACATTAGACTGGGGTGCTTACAGGCAAGGCTGCTCTAGTGCCATTGCCCTGGTTTACCCATGGAATTTATGAGGAAGCCCAGCCACTGACATCTTCTACCCAGAACCCTCCTGTATTTTCCCACCACTTCTCCCACCTTTGTGCTTAATGGAAAAAAATGTTTAGGAAAAAGAAAAAAATGCTGCACACTGCCTACTAATAGGCAGAACTATGATCCCTCAATCTGGAAGCATCCCAAGTGTCCAGGACAGACCCTTAAAGATCATGTATCCTTAGAAACCATAAAGATCATGAATCCTAAGCCTCTCTCATGTCAAGGTATATTTAGTATATCTAGGCTTCGAAGGTTTCTCCCACTCATTTCACAAATTCAAGGCCTCAGACACAAGGCCCATAAACGTAACACAGAACACAAAACGTAACACAGAACTATGAAGTTAAGATTCTCAGCAATAACTCACTATGTCCATATATGCCCGCCTGCCCCTTGAGATCTGCGGGAGAGGCCCTTCTCCAGGAACCCTCCGTGAAGGAAATTAGGAGGGTGAGTACTCGGAGAAGGGCTTTCTCTGCAGTGGCACCCAATCTAGGTCCGCCTGGCGCCGTCGTTATTTGTTTTTCGGCGCCAGGCAAAGACCTTTTTATTCAAATGTTATTTTAATTGTTAATATTATTTATTCATTATTCTTTGGCCAGGGCGACTTAATTTATATTGTTAATTTATACTATTCTATTGAAATTTATTTATGGTTGTGAGCCGCCCCGAGGCTTCGGCGAATGGGGCGGCATAGAAGTCTCATTCATTCATTCATTCATAGATAAGATTAAATTAAATTAAATTAAATTAAATTAAATTAAATTAAATTAAAATAATTCAGTCACCTTGTTTGTAACTCCGCTCCTGTGACAAAATTTCATTTCTTTCTTCCAAAATCTGTACAAGTGCAGCCTGGAGTTTGTGAGGTAGGATTTCATCCTCATCTGAAACCTTTGAAAGCAAGTGGGGTGTGGGGGTTACTGTATTCAAAAATGGAATTAAATGTTGCACGAAGGAATTACATCAGTTATAGAATAATATTATATAGAATATAACAATATGAGTATGGAATATAAGCATGCATGTGTCAAAAATGCTGAACAAATTAAAACTGATGTTTAAAACAGACTGCAGAAACAGATTTTTGCTATACAAATAAAGTACTGCAGAAGTTCCAAACAAAGCTGTCCTTGCCTCTCTCATGTTCCCCTCTCCCACATACTTAGGCAGTAAATTCCTCGACCTTTGCTTGTGCTACTTTTGCCTAATAAAAAATTCTTATATAATGTCCAAACCCAGATACTGTGGGTTTATTGTGGATTAAATCCAGTAGGGCAATCTTGGATTAATTAACCCATGATTTGCCACAGTTGGGTACGAACCAGATCTCTGCCAAGTGCTGTGTATATTTATAGCACTATACAAACAAGTAGTACCACCTAGGGTCAGCAACCTCCTTCATGCAATCTGATAGTGGAACTAGTTGCCAAAAAAAGTTGTGCAATCTCCAACACTACAGACATTCAAAGCAAAACTAGACAGTCATCTGACTAGGATGGTGTGATTTGCCATCCTGCCCCAGCCATGCACTGGACCTGCTGACCTTCTTGGCCCCTTTCAACCCTACTATTCTATGACTCTATGATATACTGAAGTACTAAATGCCACAAAGAGAAGCTGTTAATTTAAAATTCAGAGCATGTGCTAGAACCACAAAGCTCACCCCCACTTACTTCTGCTTTGTGGAATACTACAGTTTGTCAATCTCTGTTTTGCCTGTTAGAGAAGCACCTTCAGTCAACAAGGGAGAAGGGAGACCAGCAGAGAATGACTTCATGAGAGATTATTTTAAGAACAGCTGTCCACAGGAAATTCTGTCTAGACAATGAAGACAAGAAACCTTGTGGAAAAGAAATGCAGAAAATAGGCAGTATGCAGGAGAGGCAAGACCATGCTAAGGGCCAAGCTTCATGTTATCCCACATGTGTAGTTTGGCTTAGACCTGGTTCACATGAAACAGCAATTCATGAGATGATTAATCCATGGAACATTGGAGTCATGCAGGAGTAAGCAAGCTGCCTAATCTCTGCTTACCACCTTCACCTTCCATCCAGTTTGTCAAACAACCCAGCAAGGATGGGCTCAAATACTGGGTTATTTGTCCCTCAACAACCCAGCTATCTGGGTCAGACATCACATCAAACAACCCAGGGAAGGGTATTGTCATTACTTGAGAGCCAGGGCTGGTTACAGTTTTATTTGTAAGTAGCAGCCATAGGAAAGCTGGAGTGTGTGCAAGGAGAGCATCAATCCAGATAAGGCCCTCAGAAAGGTGAGACTGATCCCAAAATTCTGCTGTTAATGGCAGCTTTTCTCCCAAGGCAATGATTAACTTCAGGGAGGAGGGAGGGCATTAAAACTGCAATCCACACTACAATCCTCCCTGGTGCTTTCCACAGCTGCTCTTTAAAATAAGACACAAATGTAAAGCCTAATCACACAACTAACATAAGAGATCATTTCAGACTTAATACTATACCTTAGTTTAGCTTTATAAGAAATAGCTTAGCTATTCTACAGGTTTGCACAGTGCCTGCTTCCTTGAGGTGGCTGCACAGAGATGTTTGATCATTTATCTAACTTGCAGTCTGCCTTACTACCAAAAGGCACTCAAAGCAGCATAGCTTGCAGCATCCTCCAAGCCTGAACAAAATATGGTTAATGTCAAGCAGAGGCAGGCAAGTCAAGCAGAGCTAGTGCCCTCCAGCTCATTTAGATTTAAACTCCCATAATCACTGACCGTTAGCCATGTTGGCTGGGACTGATGGGAGCTGTAGCCCAAAAGACATGAAAGACACCAGGCTGCATAGTCCAATCATAAATAAGTATACGTAAGCAAGCCAACTTCAACTCGGTTTTTTTTTTTTTTTTTTTTTTTGGACTTAAAATGTAGCTGCAGGTGGGGACTGGTTCAGGGCAACAGCACTGAAAGAAGGACTACTGAAATTTGAGAAATGGTGTTGGGGAGAAAAAAAGAGTGAAAAGCCCCTCCTGCAAAAACCTGATATTCAAGTACGGAGGAAAAAAGAGCAGTACAATATAAGTACCTATTTTTTCCTCTACGGTAGCTAACAGCAGTTTTGGAGCAAACAAAGGACTCTGAATCAAAGAAATGACAAAGAAAGAATTAAATAGTGAGACATCTTCATCCCCCCATGTTGAGGTCTAAACAAAGCATCACTGAGCCTGACCATGGATATTATAGGTCATATGCAGCCTGGCCCTTAGTTTACTTTCAACCACTTCCAAATGGCACCACTCTGAAATAATTGCTCCACTTGCCTGAGAAGCAGTCAATGGACAAGTCATTTACTCACCTGTTGCAAAAACTTATCAGCACAGAGATCAACTATCAGTACCTACAGAGAGAAAGAGAGAGGAAGAGGTACAGTGTTATTGCCTGTGTGCTGTACTGTAGATAATTCCTGGGTCCTTCATGCAGTCTCTGCTCCCCACCCTCATGCTGATCCATATGACCAGGTTTTTCCCTGTGCAACTGCATGAAATGGCTAACACGTACCAGCTCGCTCCAGTAAAGCCCTTCTTACCAAGTCACTGCAGTTCTTTAGGTTGTGACAAGGTTATAACTTCATAGCTATGGGCTGTAACTGGAAAGAGCAGGGGCACACATTCCCAGAGTGAGACGGGTCGGCAAAGCTCATGGAGGGGAGCCCCACTGACCTTTCAGGTTCAAGAAACAAACTTTTCTACATGTTTCTGAGGTTGCTTTCAGGAGTGCTAATACCTGTTCACAACAGGTCCTGCAGGTGGAATGCAGCTAGCAGTACTTAATATTGCCCTATGATATAAGCCACTTTGAGTTCTTTAAAAGAAAAGGGGAAAAGGTGGGATCTAAAGCAAATAAAATAAATAAATAAAATTGCTTTAATTTGGGCCCGTTTGGGGTAGAGGGAGCAATTACTCTCAGCATCATGCATAAAGGGGGCTATATCAATTAGTAATTACCAACACAGAAAATGAAGAAAGAGTATTATCATCATTATCATTATTAATTTTATTTCTATACCACCCCACAGATGAAGCTGTCTGGATGGTTTACATGTCCCACATATGAACTTTCAGGTTCCTAGATTTTTCAGAACCTTAAAAGGTCCTACTTCCATTGGTTTTGTGAATGGCCCTTGGACAAACACATGTCACAAAAGCACCAGAACATCAATATGCGATGATAATTGAGATGAACTACATTCATATGCATGTGTAGGATCCATGGAAGAACTTGGCCTGTTCCTTACAACAGGGATGGGCAACTTATGGCCTTCCAGTTATTTTGGCCTACATCCTACCATCCCTTATTATTGGCTTTGCTGGCAAAAGTTGACGGGAGCTGTAAGACAAAATGTCTGGCGGGCCACAAGTCACTCATCACTGCTCTACAATAAAGAGGTCCACAAATATCACCACAAACCTTCAGGCCTTTCTCCACTACGGCAGTGTAGTCATGGGTACATCACCACCCCATGCATTCCCTCCCAAGATCTCACCTCTTCTATAGGCAGGTCCTGGAGATGTGTTAATGAACAGGAGAGAATGCCAATAAGGAAAGGGGTTGGAGAGCAGACAATGTCAATCATGGAAGCTGGCAGGACAGGGATATAGGTGTGTTGCCAGGTGAACGGGTAGAGTGTTGCAACTGCAGCATGGCCACACTTGGACAAGGTGCTGGTTCGAAAAAATATTACAGGAAACATTTGTCAGTTTACAAAATCCTCAGAGAGACAAAATTTCTGTAAACCAAAGAAAGTGGGCCCATACAGGTACATACTAAAATGTGGGGCTTGATGTATTTCTATGCAAGAAAAAAGCACTTGCTGCTCTTGGAAGTGTACCATTGCACAATGAAGGCAGTGAACTGCAAAAGTGAGTGCTGCCTTATATTAAAGACTCCTTGGCCATGGAAAGCCAGTATGCCAGTAGGAAAGGATCTGTCCTCTGTTTCTCCTTTGCATGCTAGACTTCTATCTGCACTTTGCTTTATACAGAGCAGCTTTCACAGATGCTATGCCCCACCAGGTACAGTCTAGGAAGTAGTACAGTCCAGGAAGATTGTCCCATTAACTTTTTCTGAACATGCATACTAGCCCTGCAAGACTTTTGCTTAGTTTGCAGTAAACTGCATGCTATATCCAGATTCAAAGAAAAGTAGACCAATAGTATTTTTCTTTTTTGCTTGAAAAGCTGCTTCAAAAAGGAGAAACTTTTTATCCCTCCCTTAGTCTGCTGAGACTTTTCATCACTCCAAATTGCTCCCTTCAAGGCAGAGTTACTTTGCCTAGAATTTCAAACATCCACCTGCTCTTGCAAACTGAGAGCAACACAAGTCCCCACTACTTGCCTGATATTCTCTGTCTCTGTGTCTGTGAAAGTGAGAGAGAGCGCACACACAGGCAAGGAAGAGGTAAAAGTATGTAAAAGTCCTTCCTCCTCCTTCCAAGACCAACTTCCACAGAGACACCTATAGCCAAAGTAGTTTCTCCCAGGGTCTTCTGTCCCCCCAGCTTCCTTAGTCCTCTGTAGACAATTCTTTTATCAGCAGAGGTTTCATGCAATCCCTCACCAACAAGGAGTCCCTAACTTCAGCAAAACCAACCAAGCCTTTTGATACCATAAAGACTTCTCCATCATGGCCACTTCAAAGAGAGCACTTATGAGGCAGAAGTATTTTCCCACTAATTTCTGGGGGATTTTAATATTGCAATTTCTGATAGCAACTTTTTGGCGCCAGGCGAAGACCTTTTTATTTTATTTAAAAGTTATTTTAACTGTTAATTTATTATTATTGTATTTATAGATTTTAATATATATAGCCGAGATGGTACCAGTTTTTTAAATGATTAATTGTATCTTTTTATGAATGAATGTTGTGAGCTTTGTTGCGATAGGGGTGGCATAGAAATGTTTTAAATAAATAAATAAACTTAGTGACCATTTATTATTTCCTGTATAGAGTATCCTGTTTGTCCCATACAGAATGCAGAGGGCATTGCTGACATAAGGCAGTGTATATCACACAGGAAAGCAAGTAAGTGAAAACATCCCTGAAGTTTACAGTTTCCTACACCATGTGTACTGTGTATTACTATTATTAGATATATTTGAAATGTTCGATAATATTTCGCACATCTATTGAAGTGAATTAAAGTCCATGAGGCCTTATGCCTGAATACATTTTGTAGTGTTTAAGGTGCCACAAATTTTCTTGTTTTTCCTGCACAGATTAATATGGCTATCCCTCTGGAAATTGTTTTAATCAAAGCAGTGTCCTTCTATGGACCTGCTGAACCCCAATACACACAAAACTATCCAGTGAAACATATCAGTTAAATACTTGCCTGGAAGCTGCAAGTGTATCACAATTATTAATGTTATGAATGTTGTGGATGTAGTTAAACATGCATATCTGCTTAATATTTCTAGAGTTTGTATTTTCTGAAACCTAGATTTGTTTTTTCTGTATCATATATGACTACAAAACTTTGAAAGGTTTGGCATGGAAGTTTCCAAAGAAAAAGGAAAACTAGAATGCTGTCAAACCAGGAAGGGAACCATATTTATGTCTTACCTTAAATTGTCAGCAACAAAGATAACTCTCCTTTCCAGCAGGAGAGAAGCACATACTTGGATCAAGTGAGAGACACTTAGGCACTCAAGTAGACATTCAAAGTCAACATGCTCCAGCCGAGAATCTAGTGGACGGCAAAGCTCAATCACCTAACAGCAAAGAGATGTAACAGAGTCACTGACAAGGACTGCACAATTTTCTTATTATTTTCCCCAGAAAACAAAAACATTTGGTAGGTGCTCAGCTGCAAAACTGGGATAGAATCAAGAGCTCGCCAGTTAAAGGCTGACAGCAATCAGTTGACTCATGTGAATTCATCATGGACAGCAAAATAAGCCTTCCCTAGGATTTTAATTGGGATCACTGGGATTGCTCCTCACTCCTTTGCTAGTACATGAACCATGTCTTTGCAAATACCTCATTTCCAGCTCCTGGAAGGAAGCTCTTTACAGTGATGGTGCGCCCAGGAGCAGGGAATGGTGCCTCCATGACACTGCGCATGAATGGGTGGACAAGAGCTGGGGACATCTCACGCCTCTTCTCCACTTCATCTAGTATCTGCATAAGGAAAGTATACAGAAATTCGACTCATTCTTCTTGGCCACAATACAAGGGGAAAAAAGCAGAGAGGATCGAAATGGCCCCTCTGCACATTTCAGCCTGTGTTGTTTTGCTTTTGTCACGCTGGATTATATACAAGCAGGCACAAAGTAAATGCATCTATCTTTTACAATATAGACAGCCTTATCTAGCAGCACAGCTTTTCAAAAAAACTAATTTTTCTCCTAGAAGTGAGACAGGTTTCCCCAAGCATGGGGCGGGGGAGGCAGATACACCCCATACATGCCCTTCATGATGATTACATCATGTCCACTCTTTCCAAAGCTTGTTCCCAGCAGCTTTGGCACATGATGCACTTTCACAATAGTTCTATTTTTGGTGCATTGTTGCCCCCTTCGTTTTTTCTAAATGGCAACTAGTATTTTGGAATAGCAAGTACAATGAAATTCTGAAGGAGGACCTTGCATGAGGGCAGGGGCAGAACAATCCATTCCAATCCCTTAAATCTATAAAAAGCAATAAATGCCCATATGCTTACATTATGCTTCATAACATCTTATCCCATGTTAATCCCACCACAGATACATGGAGGTTGTACATGGTTCAAAGAGCAAGCCAAAGACTTTTAAAATTCAGAGGCTACTAAATGTGAATGTTTAATTACAGATCATTTCCCGATGACCTGATGGTATTTATGGCTTCTTCCAACTCCACTATTCTATCATTCTATGATTTCATACAAATTATCTAAATCCTGGCAGAAGATAAAATGTGAATTTTTTTCAAAGTGCTTCCTCTTTTAATTGTTTCCCCTGAATTTACTTTAATCCATTGAACCCAGGGATGTTTCAAGAGCAGTGTTGGCAGGTTCTTGCAGGCAAGTTATAAAAATAAAAGGTTGTCCTCTGTTCGGCACATCATGCAATTGCATGCAGCAGCGTAAACTCTGGAGAAGGGGGAGAAAATCAAATTCCATCGAGGTGGAGGGGAAAGTTCCAACACAGACCCCATTCAGGAATCAGTTATGAACCCTGTAACAGCAACAGCCTATGATCTGGATCTTCCTAATCATATTAATCAGCTTGCGGCAAACACCCAATAAAGATGTATTGCACAGATCTCATGTGCAAGCCAAGCAAAGTCACAGTGCTTATGAATGATGACGGATGCAAACCAGGGTACATGCAGTTGCTACAGCTTGCATACAAGCCTTCCAAGGAAAGGCAGCTGTGGTGTGAAGAAATAATTTCAGAATAGATCAGAAAACAAACAAAATTCATGATTTTGCCAATTTACAAAGACAGAAGATAAGATTACTCTCTCTGCAAATGTTCCCAGAGCAGTATCCCTGTCTTCTAGCATGAGGGCAACTAAACATAAGTTTTGAAAAGCTTTTTAAAAACAGGAACTATGTTGAACTATGCATCCTTTCCAGTGAGGATTTTTGAGGAAAGGTAGGACTGGACCTCAATTGATGTTTACCAATGCAGACCAAATTTGCTTCCATGTCACTAGATATGCAGTAAAAGCTAATCCCCACTTTTAGATGCAGGAGAGAATCATATAATTGTAGATTAGTAGAGTTGAAAGGGGCCAAAAATGCCATCAGGGCCAACTCCCTGCTCAGTGAAGGATTCAGGTTAAATCATCCCTAACAGTTGGCTGTCCAACTGCACCTTCAATGCCTCCTGGATTATTGGTTCCATTGTTGCATTACTCTAGCAGTCAGGAAGTTTTTCTAATGTTCAGCCAGAATCTGGCTTCCTGTCACTTTAGTCCATTATTCTGTGTCCTGCTCTCTGGAATGGTCAACCTTTAACTTTAGAGCCACATGAAACCTTCCTTCAGCCTGATTTTTTTAAATCTTTTAAGTCCACAGGAAAAGGAAGTGGGAAGGTAAAGAAGGCCGTGACGGAAAGAAAGGGCACGGAGGCAGAAAGAAGAAAGAAAGATCACCTTTGGCATCTCGTCTCCATAGAAATTATTCTTCCCCACCCCATGCTTTAGATGCTCACCATGTGCAGTAAAAAGTTTTGCATTCCCAACAACCAATGTCAAACCCAGAAAGGTATTTTACCCACTAAGGAGCTACCTTTGTTAGGACCTCAAAAGCAGTCCACTCACCTTGGAAAAAAGGTTGAAGCAGCCTAGGCGGCTTACCATGCAGTATACTTCAGGGAGTCGCTTCCCCTTTCCTTCAGGCTGAAAGGCAAAAGGAGCAGACAGTTATATGCAAAGCCATAGAACATGCAGGCCATGCAGGGTGGAAAGACTGCTAAGGATCTTTCGCATCCACTGCAACTTGAGCATCCCTGGCTGTAGCTTCCAAAAGGAGATCTTTTTCTTTCTTTTCTTGCCAGCCTGCATGTTGGCTTGAAGTTGCATTTTGCTCATATATCTAGGCTGTTAATTCCTGTAGCAAATTTGGAACTGTTTGGCCAATGGATTGTCAAATGGCAGACATCCTTCATTTGCAACCACAACACTTCAGCACTAGCCTCAGAGCCAAGGAGCTACTTACCAAGAGCTTCTTGCAATATCCGAACCAGCGGCTGCCATCCTCACCAGTCAGCACAAAGGAAAAGGTTTCACTGGACAACAAAAATAAATGTGCCAAGATTAACTAAGCAAGCAAGGCAAGAGCCAAGCCTATTCTGCAGAGGGTCCCATCATCCCAACTCTGACTGATGGACATAAACAACACTTCTTTCTCCAGTTCCCATTTGCATGGATTGTTCAGAAGCTGCTTAAGATTCCCAGCAGACATTTCATCTGTTTCTAGCCTTCCAGGATCTCCACCCTACCACAAATGACCACAACTGGCAGCCCAGAAATGGCCCACACCCTTACACTGTCACACTGAGGGAGGTAAACAGGATAGCGCATTGACAACCAGCAACATCTAGGCCATTCTGACTTTGTCGTAAAGAAAGAAAAGGAAGGGCCCAAAGTAACAACATCACAATTAAGTTGTATTTTTTTAAAGTCATACAAAAACTTGGCAAGTTGGCAAAACTGAAATTAATCTTTCCAAGGCAGCACCCCATCCACATCCTTATTCTGGAGCCAGCACACTGTAGCAAAAGAAAGATGTGGAGTTCTTTAGTGAGGGCTGGCAAGCCCCACCTCCAGACCCTACTAAACTCTTCCACTTCCAGCATCACCATTCAACCCTTGATAAGCCCTGCTCTAGATCAAGGGCACTCAGCCCCCTGAGCTTCTGGTTCCTGAGCTAGAGTCTTACAGGAAAAAAGGATCGTGTATTTTGAAGTCACTCACCTCTTTGCTTCAGATGTTGGGCACCAGTCTTTTGGGTCAGGGAAACAGAATTTAGGGATGACCTTCAGCCTCTCTTCAGTATCCTTAGACTGCCGAAAGTGGTGGTCAGGCTGCAGAGGGAACATGCTGCATCACTGAACAGACACAGGCAGGCAAATATTTGCCTCTTGCATGGCCACTTAGAATCAGCTACACCAAATTGTTCCCCTCTCCACAATAGTTTTCACCCTACCTTTTCCTCCAAGAGTTGATTTTTACCTAAATTTCTTAATTACATTTTTCTTTATCAAGTAAACAGAAGCTACATTTTTCAAGGGGCAAGGAATGTCTTTCAAATGTCACTAAATCGACTGCACAGCAAGAACATGAAAGTTGCGTGTGGCTTGGTTTCATGATGCATTTCTAACATGACCTTGAATACAGAGTGAGTTACCCACCCTAGTCTAGCTTGACTTGCTATGGAATCTAGAAAAAGTTTCCCAGGCACCTTGCTTCACTGCAGAGTTCATACAAGAAAGTTACTAGCAGACTGTTTGGAAACAGGACTATTTTCGGAATTGTAATCACTGTACTCACATTATAATCATAGTGCCATAATTACTAGGGCAATGTTTCCTGCTAGGATCCTGGCCTGAAAGACCCTCTTGTGCAAATCTTGTTAACATCCAGCCTACAAAACATCTCCCAGGCGGAAAGAAGGCAAGCAGACTGGCAAAATGCCATCCACTTTGTCAGCAAGGCTACAAAGAGCGCAGGAGTCACATGAGGCAGTGGGACATGGCTCATTGTGTCTTCTGAGCAATGTAGGCCAATACAGTCCCCTCCCTGTTTTTGTTAACAACAGCAGCCTAGATGAAATCAGCACAGCTTGGGAATTGTGGTTAAGTCAACTGCAATTCCTTCCCCGGTTGTGTTCACCCCACAGCCATGCAGCACTAAAAACTGGAGTATGTTTTCCAAAAACAAACCAAAGATATTTCCTGGCAAATTCTGCAGTGAGCATGATGGGCTAGGCCAGCACTTGGCTGCCTTTCTGGGGAAATATAGTGCTGGCAGAGGACTTTGGATGGAAGAAATGGACACGGGGACAGAATGGTCTGCCTGCTGCTTCTATGGTGCAAACTGATTCTCCCATCAAGGTACTCCCCCTCACTTCCAGGGCTGAAGGTAAAAGGGTAGAACCAAGGGCAAAAAGGTAGGTTCATATTCTAATTTAAAGCTCTTAATGCTTGTAAGTAAGTGTTAAGAGAGGCATTTCAACCTACTGTTAAAATGCGAAAAAACATGTAATCCAGGAAACTACTAATTGATAAGCTGTCCAAAGGCGTGTAGCCACCTGGCAAACCTGGGAGGGACAGTTGTGGCCTACAAACCTGGGTTCAACACCCCTGTTTTTGTTTTCATTGCTTTGGAAACAGTAATGGACAGGAAAATAATAATTCTACACCAACCACCCAATTACCCAATAGCAAGCTAGATTTAAAGCTAATTAGTCCTGTCAATCAGGAGAGCAGAAACAGCCTTAGTGATTTCCCTTTGTGATCTCAGTCTGCTGCTAGAGCCCTAAGAAATGCCCCCTTTCCCCAACATTCGACACCTATACCCCTGTGACACCAAAAAAACAAAACAAAACCCAGAAAAATATACTGGTGCAGTTGGAAGGGCCCAGCACAGATGGTGCACTGCTGTCCTTCGCATTTAAGTAAAACTCTTCTCCTTCTTCTGCCCCCTCCTTCAAATATCAAAACTGTGCATATTTAACTTTGAAGAGCAAGGACAACTGTTACAATGCTATGTGACCCACCTTGCTAGGAAACTGCTGTATAACCTGTGGAGTGTAGGTAGCTTCTGATGGCTTCTTCTGTAATGACACCACCACAAAAAGCTCAAAAAGTTGCTGCTCCTGGAACTCAATGAGGTCCCGCTCCAGCGTCTGGTAATGTGGGTTCCTTTTGGATTGAGCCTGAACCTGCAGCAGGCGCTTATGGCGACCTACAAGAGCGGAAAAAAAATTAAGTGCAACAGCCTGGCATTCTTGAGTAAAGAAAGGGAAGCAACATGGGTTCCATTCAACAGATGGGAAGGTAGCTGAAAGGTAAAGGAACTTGCCCCCAGCCATGAAGCAGGTGGGCAACAGAGCTGGAAGTTAGGCAAGTAAACTCCCCTCTTGAAAAAGAAGCCAGAATGCCAAGGGACAGCTAGTCAGCAAACACAACTTCATGGTCTAATCCAAGAAAAGCACACCACCACCAAGCTGCAAAACCTAGCATCTGTACAGAACTGGTCTCCTCCCCTCTGCCGCAGTGAGCGATCTCCTACTGAACTGTTACACTGCTGTAAAGGAGCAGGGCCAAAGTGGTGGAAACTGCACTGACACAAGCCTAGCTGGCTGCAAGTAAAGAAACTCCTCTGTTTTATTTTAAACACAGCCACCCAGTCTTCCCTTCCATGTCTAGCATCTAGAAGACTTCTGGCAGGAAGGAAGCAAGGGAAAGATTGTGGCTGACTCTGGTGGGCACTGCCAAATGTGCTGTTGTCCTAGGTTACAGACAAAGCGTGGCTCTGACGTTTTCCAGTCCTGGAGAGCAGGAAATGCTGGTGTGTTCAGAGCCATTGGTGCCAACTAAGGCAGATGAGTCATGACACAGAGCCAGTCTGAAGCCTGTTGCTCTTGCTCTAGTAGTTCTTCCTCCAGTATTTACATCCAAACCCAGGATAAAGGGCTAAACATTATTTATAATTTCAGTTAGTTCTTTTTCCCAGCAAAGGGCATTTCACAATCTTGCAGGAGCATAGAGAGTACAGAAAGGACCAGGACTAAACTTCAGCAAAGACAAAAAAAATTCTCAAGAGGCACTTGAGCACTAATGATGCCCTGTGGAGAGACGGGTCACCAGGGAAGAAAAGGCAGCCTCTTGTTTGAGATTTCATAGAATCATGGAGGTAAGGAGAACTTCAAAATTCAACTACTACAACCTCTACCAAGATTCCATAGATTAGCCTTCCCCAGCCTGATGCCTTCCACATCTTTTGGAATACATCTCCTGTCATTCCTGACCACTGACTGGGGCTGATGGCAGCTGAACTCCCAGAATCCCTTGCCTGCATAACCAATAGTGAGAAATCACAGGAGTCCAAAACATCTGGAGATGTTTCTCTCTACCTTGAACGTGTCCAACAGTTACCTGGGACTATCCAATATAGCCAAATGGATAACTGTAGGCAGCAATGTAGTCAGCACAAGTGTTTCTCCTTAAGCAACTGCTTTTTAAGTTCTTCAATTCCTCCAGGGTTCCTAGGAACCCAGGATGAAATTCAGTGCTGTAACTCTAAACATGTCCAGTTCCTTCAATCTTTCTTCTTGCAGCTAGCCCATGTCTTTATAATCTTCACTACAATCCTAAGAATGACATCTTCATATCAAAGTTATACTATCCCAGATGCTGGGTATAATACACCTGAAGCCTCACGAGTGGCCTCTAAAATACTTGTGGCAAGTCCTCTTTGCCACAAGCAAAAGGCCAATGTTCAAATTAGTGAAAAGGCTCACAGTCCCAAAATGGCGCACATGGTGCCAAGGCAGAAGCTCTCTGTGGCCCAGTCATTCCCAGTATCCGGGTCAAAAAGTACTCCAGTAGCTGTAATTACTCCTCATGAGCTGGCTCACTCCCAGTGACTCACTCACTTTTTGAAAGATTCTCTGGTTCACTGTCATAGCCATTGGTTTCACCTGAAATAAAAGGAAGAACCTGTCAGAATTTGCCGGCTGGGTGGAAATAGGAAATGCTGGAAGGAAACTGACAGGCTGATGATCCATCATGGGTCTGTGGCACACCGAAAGTCAGGCATGGCTGCACCAGCCAACACACATGCACGCACACACCCCAAAACCTGTTATAGCACAAAAATACCTCAGGTGTTAAATAAAGCAAGTAAAGTTCATTAGATAGCTCTGGGTGGGGAGGCATCCCCTATGTTGTGCAATGCGAAGGACTGGGGATGGCTGCATCAGCATGAACTGCTTCATACTACTAAGTCTGACTGAAGTCACACTAAGAACATGGGACTACTGCTAGCTACCACAGCACATATGGAAAAATAAAGCATCACTAGAACAGTCTGACTAAACTAAATGTAGTAACACACATACCTTAATACCCACCGCCAAACAACCTAAGACAACTTTGGCCTTCCGTAATCCTAGTACAGACACTTCTACACTGCCCTAAGATTCATGGAAGAAGGGAAGGATTAAAAATGTAGTAAGTTAATAAGTATTAAATACAAATCCATGGCTTCAGAGCCATTCCCAGAGTTGCAGAATGCCTGTCTCCTGTTGGAGGCATCCTTATACCAGCTATACTTTTAGGACAGCTTTCTCCAACCTGGTACCCTCAAAATACCTTGGATTACCACTCCCACCATGCTAGCTGGGGAATGCTGGAAGGTATAGTCCAAGGCATCTGAAGGGCATCAGCCTGGGAAGGCTGTCCTAGGAAAACTGCACACAGCTCAGCATCTGTACCTCTGGCCGGAGAAACTTCTTTTCCTGTCTGTGCCACCAACTTCACTTGCTTCTTTCCTCTTTTGGAGGCAAAGATCTCCTGGATTTTCAATACAAACTGAAATCAAAGAACAAAGCAGAAATCAAAGAGTAGTCAAAAGTGTCACAAACATCCAAGCAAGGCTCAGAAAACCTGCCATTCACAGATGGTCTTACACAGAGCTATAGTAGCAATGGAGACAGTCACAAAGCCCAGCTAAGAATGTTCTGATCAAGAGGACAAACCAAGCATGCGTCTGGGACCCAAAATACCTGAAATGCTGGGTTTATGCATGTTCGCCATTCTAGAATCTGGTTGCTTATGTAAAAAAATCCAAATTTGCATTAAAGAAAACCTGTGCTTTACTCTTACTGCCTACAGCACATTTCAGTGTATAGTTTTAAATTATCTCTTTAATCTTCACAACAACTCTGCCAAGTGGTTTAGGCTAATACCTGAAGACACCTCAGGAACAAATCAGAAGGCTCTGAACTCAGACCTCCCATTTCTCCATCTCCAATACCCTGCTCACTGTTCCTATATTCTGTTCTTCTATTCCCAAAGACATGTCCATGTGTTAAAACAGAGTGGAGGTAGCAGCCCCACCTATCAAGTTGTTCAGTTTCTCAAACCACAAGCAGGCAAAAAGTGCTTTTCTCTCAGCCTGTCAAGCCACAACCTGCTGAAGTCCTGGTCTCTCGCCGAACTGTTTCACTATTTTAAACATGGCATTCAGGCCAAGTTCCCTCTTGCCCGGCTTTCAGAAAGCACTCAGCATTCTAAGCAAAGGCAACAGGGTGGGGTCCAGCTGTTCCCATCACCACAAGTAATGCTAAATGCAGAAGGGAGACATCAGGTAAATCCATTCACAGCCCCAACCATTTCTTCCACAGTAGCAACCAAGCAGCTGAGAGAAAAGAGAGGGATTGCCGAGCAGCAGTCTGCTGCTCCTGGGTCGTAACCTTAGGGCACAGCAGCCCTTATGCAGGAAGCGCTGTGTTTCCTCCATGAGTTTCCTTCAGCCTCTCTTCCACTCCTCCAGAGTTTTCCCAGCCTTACCTTAATGCTGCTGGTTTGAGAGACACTTCACGCTTTGACAAATACCCCAGATAATCATTTGTCAAAGCAGACAAAGCATGGAAAGCATAAAGGGGAGGCCATACATCCCTGGAAAGCATGTTGGGGGGCTATGATTGCATGGTTCTTCTAGCATGGGGAACAATGTGAATTTGGAAATGCGCATCTGCACCACACGCTTCGTAAATCAGCTGCAGCCAGTGATGGTGGCCTGCAGAGTTGTTGTTCCTAGTGGCTTCGAGAACCATGTAGAAGTTGCTGGAGTTGAAGAGACAGTGCTAGGATGCTGAAGAGAACATGCCCTTCTGCTGAGGTTGATTGAGATCCTTTTCTGGCTTTTTTGGCCATTCCTCCAGCAATCATAGCCAAGTCGTATGATTTCAGTTTGAGAGGGAGAGAGAGAATAACATGCACTTCCTCTCTTGGTAAATTACTCCCATATTTTTGGAGGCAGTTTGCAAGTCTTTAGGCAGGATCAGTTGTCTGAGGAAGGCTCATGCGGGATGCTTCATCACTCCTCCTGGCTTGGAGCTTATTATAATTTTTGCATGCTCCAAGAAAAGCTGATGTATAACACTTGGAAAAGCAACAGATCTGGAGTGGATATAAAGTTAGTCTTCTCTTCATCACCCCCACCCGCAATTTTCTCCCTCAGTGCAGAAACAGATTCCTACTAGGCAATGTAGCTGGCTGCATCCTTTGGTCTTAGGTTGAGGCCAGAACAGGGAGCTCTAACTGCTCAGCTACCTAGCCAGGCAAGATAGTCTGAATTTGGCTTTCTTATCAGCTAAAAGAACTGGTACGCACATGTCTGAACACACATTGTTAAAAATTAATACAAGTGTAGGAAAGTTGATATCAAAGGCACCAACTGGACAAGAGTCCAACCCCTTCAATGCGTAGGCAGCATGAAAAACACTTCTTGGTTCTCTGACTACACCAGGCATGCATCGCCGTTACTCACTCACCCACGGGAGGGAGTGGCAGGAAACACATTAGGGGAATTATATTCAGATTTTTATTGAACAACCCCATTCTTAAAATGCTGCTCAGCAGTTTTAAGCCACAAAACAGTTTGGAGGTTAAATGTCAAATCAGAAATAAGCAGCTCCAGAGAAAGATGCAGTTACATGAGTCCAGGAAGGACTAAATAAACTTGGGGTCACTTTAAGCCTTTGCAAACATCATTAACACAACCTCTTATTAAAAACCAAAAAAATACTTCAATGTAAAGGAGGAGTAACTGTATATTAGCTGCATGTTGCCATATACTGCTTGTGCCTGCTATTGAATAAGCCTAGAACATTCTGCCTCCACACAGCAAGTCAGCAGCATACAGATAAATAAAAGAGTGGATTTATTTACAGCTAAATTCAGTTCCAGACACTCTCCTAATCTAGTGATTTCAAAAGAGATATTGCTTATCTGTAACTGATTCTTTGAATGGCCATCTGTGAGCTCACACACGTAAGTTATACAACTGCATAGAAGAATCAATTGGAACATTCTAGAGTTAAGCAGAGTTTTAGAAAATGCCTCCCAGATATACCAGGGTGTGGGAGGGAAGGGGTTCCTGCCAGAATGACTCTAGCTTGGAAATCTTCCCAACAACAGGCCCCACACAGGCACAGAGCCCTGTGGGGCCTGTGATACATAGAGACCATGACGAAGAACTACTTTCATCATGAGGAGCCTATGGTTGGGTGTGGCCACAGTTTCAAAGGGTATGGCAATTAATTGAGCCAGTACCGCTATCAGACTCTAGGTCAGGACCAATGGCAAGGCCAGTGGATAGAGGTTAGCAAGTTCCTTAAGGGACCATTTTATGTGAGGATATGAGAAGACAGAGAAACCTTCAAATTGTCAAGACCCAATATGGCTGTTAAATAAACTTTAACAGAAGAAAGAGCTACACTTCCAAGTTTCAAAGAAAAAAGCCCAACATACTAGGCAGACCACCAAATCCTGGTCTGCTGCAGCTTTCCAAGTAGCAGCATAAGGGTCTGGGTGGGAGATTTTCATGATACAGTCATTACTTCTAGGCTCTTGGGCCAAGACTGCTGACCTGCTGAGGAAGTTGATAAGAGTACCAGATGCTCCTGTGAGGTATATTGCAATGGAGGCAATGTGGTGATATATGCTACAGTCCCAGAAATGGAGGGTGAGTCAAAGGAGCAGAAGGATCTTATCCCATCCTGCTTGTTTACATGGAGGACAACTGTGGCAATGCCCATTGCAGTTTGGACAGACTGCCCTTTGACACAAGATTTATATGCCTGCAGGGCTTTGGCAAGAGCAAGAAGTTCAATTTGAATGATGTTGGGAGAGAACCCTACCCAACACAAGACTACATCCCTCTGATCATGAGTGAACCACAGCAGGCTCCCCAGCCATAAGGGAACATGTCCATGGTGACTCTTAAGAACAGACAGTTGAGTGTGCCAGAATCATCCATCAGCGCAGGGAATGTGCGACTGAAACCGGAAGGAATAAAAAGACACAAATGAGGTTCAATTGCGGGACTGAAGTCCTCAGGCTGTGAGGTAGTGACATGAGGACAGGCAGTTTCAGGCCACAGGCCATGCTGGGATAAGCTTGAGACCTACTATCCTGGGCTGGCCAGTGTGGATAGGTAAAAATGAATAGTGAATAATGAATGCCGGATTTATTGCAGAGAAAAGGTCAGACATAAGACATTAGCCTTTAAAGAGATTAGGCAAAGCAACCCTGCAAGGAGGATGACCATTATCTTGACACACCTGGAAAATACCCCATCAATAGCAACCACAAAGACAGGCAAAGTACTCACCTTTTTACCCACAGAAAATAGAATCATAGAATCACAGAAAAGTGATTCTGAGTTGGAAGGGGCCAAGGCCATCGAGTCCAACCCCCTGCTGTTGCAGGACACCAATTTACACTATCCCACTCAGATAATTGTGTAGTTTCTTTCTGAATGACTCTAGTGTGGGAGAGCCCACCACCTCTCTAGGCAGCTGGTTCCACTATCATTGCTCTGACAGTGAGGAAGCTTTTCCTGATATCCAGCCTGAATCTGGGTTGTCACAACTTGAGTTGATTATAGTCATAGAGCAGACAGCAATACACAAGCTAATCAAAAGCAGCCAAACATACATCGAACTATTAGCACATCTAACTATAAGTCTAGGCAACAATGGAATTTTTCCTGTTCCCATAGGAGCAGATACAAAGGGAAATAGTATAAAGATCAGGGACTTAGGAAATAGAAGCTGACAAGGTCTGAACACAGGACCAGCACCCCAGCTTGTAGACTTCTTGCACCCTTTGTGCCCTCACAAGAAACTGCTGTCAAGAGTCTACCCCACAGGATAAGTAACAGATGCCTCTCCTTCTCTCTCTTTGTCCTTTAGCTTCTCTCTATCTATGAGGCTATTAGGCAGGGAACTCTTTATCTCGTTAGGAGTATAGAACAAAATTGGGAAATAGAGTATTTGCTGCCAAAACAGCCTTGGATTAAGAGTTTTGTGACTGTTCTCTGTTTTCTGCTGAATAAGCTTTCCTTTGCTTTCTAAGTGTTGTATGAATGTAAAGCTAGGCCATGCTCTCTCTCTGGCAGCATGAATTAAACCCCAGCAAAATATCCAAAACCTTTTGAGGTAATCCAGTGGGCAGCAGCCTCCTTTTGAGGTATACTGCTTCCCAAAACTACATGATATAACCGTCTGGTGAAAAATGTGGGCAGCACAGCGGTAGACTCCTAAGATCATTCACCAGGGAAGCATCTAGGAGTCACAAGGGAAACAGACCATCGAACAGGCACTGGGGTTGACAGCCCACAGAAAAGCATTGGCAACAATGGTCCTATAGATTGGCTAGGACACAGGAGTGACAGTCCCACAGACTCCTCAGAGTCTGGAAAAGACTCCCCAGAGAAGTTCATCTGACACCAAAAAGAGAGCACTCTTCTCCACCCATTTTAACAACTACGAGTACTAGAGAAGCAGCGTGCACCCTGAGCATAAGCAAAGAGTAAGTGCCTTTGGGAATTAGATTAGAGCTGCCTTCAGCCACAAGGAAAGGGATTTGCCCCTGATCAAGGTGAATCCAAGTTCAGGACAGAGGCTGACCTGAACTAACACCCCAAAGAGAACTTGTGCCACAAGGAAAAAGTTACGCAGAAGAGTCTTGGTGAAGGCTTCAGAGCTATCACCCATGAGGGGAGCAAGGAAGTTCTTTGGGAAAAAGGGAGAACTGACAGTGACAGAAGTGTACATTGCCAAGTGGGGCCCATGTATGTGGGGAGCTGATTGTTTTAAAACAGATTATCCATTTTACACTCCTAATGCAAGGCTAGAAGAAGAGTTTAAGGAATGCAAGCCCTCCAAAACACAGCCAAAAACAGCAATCTTATGGGACAGTCACACCAACTCAGTCCATCCTACTTAACAGGACTGCTGTAGAAATAATATGAGATAGGAGGCAGACACACACTTTCCTGAGCTCATCTGGTAATCGTTTAAGATCAATGGTCATAAATACAACCAGCAAGGTTTATGAAATAGCAAGGCATGGTCAGAGAGGAAAGACATGGAACAACTGGTGTTCACAAGCACCTACCTCTGAACAGTGCAGTGGGGAACTATTTAAGCCCCCCACAGGAAGGGGCACAAGTAAACAAGAGACGTGCCCCTTTTCACTAGCAGTATGACTAGAGTATTCCAACAGGGCTGGCTGGCAAAGTGAGAGAGTGAATTAAGGGGATGAGAATTCTCCTGACCCAGCAAGAAAAGATGAGTTTGGGTTCATTCCTCACCCGGGGGAGGTTCTTTCTCTTCCTGCTTCCAGCTTCGCCTGCTTTAAAGAACTTCCATTCTGTCAGCGTAACAGGTAGAGTTGTGTCCTTTGTCAACTTCCCCGGCAGGAAGATCCGTGTGGTCTTTAGCTCCAAGGTTTTACGATGAAGGAAGTGTGGCTTGGGGGGAAGCTGAAGAGAAGAAACATGGGGTTGGCAGTAATTATTGCATATGAACCTACATAGCTGGAGTGCAATTTGTACAAACCACACTAAAAATGCATTGTTTTCATATTCCAATTGCATGCAGCATAAACTTATGCAATGTGTACACATTTCCTTATGGTTAAACACACAGAGACATGGACACACAATCTGTAGCTTGTCTTAGAGGCAGAAGTCTATGAGCTGGCCAAACTTCCACAGTAGCTAGACTTCTACAACAGTGAATCAGCAGAAGCATGGGGATAATGAACTGGAAAGCTGGATGTTGAACCATGAAAATCCACTGGATTTCCACCCCCATTGGATTCCTCACAAATTCCTAGTTGCAGCTTCCACATCACCTCAAGAACATGACACTTTCTAATGGCAACACTTGACACATTCGGCTGACCGGCATTAAGTGACATGCATGCATATCCAAAGCTACTCCATTTTGTTCTTCTTTTCCACATGCTAAAGCCTGAACCCAGTGAAGGTCAGACACAAAGATCAACCTTAGGCAGGAGTGCTGCACAAAAAGACAGCTAAATATGCCCTCACCTTGGGAGGCTTGAAGGTGTTCCGAGGGGGAGGCAGTTTCCAAGTTGATGGGACCTTCCACAAAGGCTTCACTTTGATATCTTCATAGAGATTCTCCTTAGCAGGATCTAGGAAAAAAACAATCCTTGAAGGAGAAAAAGAGAGGCCACCAACCTATTCTGCTTGCTTGCAAAAGGAAAAGGGGAAAAAAGCACAAACTGAGCCAGAATTTCCCATTAATTACAGGCAGAGAAAGAGAGAGAGAGAGAGAGGGAGGGAGGGAGGGAGAGAGAGATTACACATAACAGAATTCCTGCATGCTGGTACACACAGCTCTTCCACTCTCACTTTGCACCCATACACATGAGCAGGTAAAAAAGCCAGAAATGGTTCTCTCATGTTATGTTTAAGTCAGGAATCCTGATTTATTGCTTCCACATAAGGCAGGATTGGTAAAGCCAAAGGCAAATTTTGTGCTAGCAAAGAAAGCAAAACAGCAACATGCACAGCAACTTCCCACCCTCTTTCGACTGATTGCTTTCCAACAGAGAAACAGTATTTGGTGAATCTATAAATGTATATTCTACAGGTCAGCAGTGGCGATCATAAATTTAATACTGGTGACCTTCAAAGTAAGGAAAAATGGCAGGCAGTCTTTCTTTCTCCAAATTACTGTCATTCTTTCCTTAAAATGAACCTGGAAACATACCAGTAATGTCCTCATATAGGTTGTCCTCTGACTGTGTGCAATAGAGACGGAAATTTGCAGTGCCATTCACTTCTTCGTGGAGTTTTTGGTACTCCATAGCTGCTAGCCGGTTTCGGTAACCTTGGATGTCCTCAAATTCAAAGGACTTTCTATAAACAAAGCAGGGGGTGCTTTATCATCCCACAAGCCTCACATACAAGAACACGGCATGGCCTTGTATCTTCTGCCTCTTGTTAAATTTTATTGCACTCCCTACTACTGACTGGATTTTCTCTCATATTCCGATAGTTATTGGCTTCACGTTCTTATTTTGGGCATTTTAGGAAAGGTATTGTCTTATTTTGGGGAAAATCTCTTTGATTTTCACTAAACAGAAGATACCCCAATTGGGATTTTTTAAAATCAGGTTTTCTCAGATCTATATATGCCCCTTAATGGTTATGGGAAGAGGTTTGGGATTCAAAGACAGCATTCTAATCTGTTGTTTCCACTGTGCCTACTAAGAAATGACTATGAGAATGAAAGGGAATGGAACTGCATCTCTGTCCTCCATGCAAAAGCATTAGTGGTGTAAACAGCCTTTCCTAGCCTGATCTCCTCCAGATATGTTGGACCTAGTTGCAACATTCATAACCAGCAGGGCCATTGATCAGGAATTCTGGGGATTGTAGTCCAAAAGCTACAGGGGGAACAAGGCTGTTCTATGCCATGAATATGGATATATAATTTGATGAATATACACTTCATCAAAGAGTTAGTCTCACTTGTGCATCTGCCCAAAATTATCTTCTGCTGGATGGATGCATTAGGAGCAGCTGGAGATACAACATCTTCCAGTGGCCAAGGAGTTTATTTGGAGGTCCTTTCAATTGTAACTACAATGAATGATATCCATGTAACATCAGCTCTGTGTTTATCTAATACTAAATAGGGTTCCTGAATCACAACTAAGAGATCTCCACATTGGGAAAATGACAATCCTTCCACCTGCAGGTATTTCTTTCAGTTCCTCAACTGAGCAAAGTTGATAACAGGGTTTGAAACATTTTAGCTGCCTTTGGTACCCAGCCAAAAATGTGTGCTTAATACCAACCGTAATGCTTCCCCAGCAGATTTTTCTCTCACATCATGAAAAGCCAAGTACAGCTCTGGGAGCTGACCCCTACCAACTACTCTACCTCTGTGATAGGGGTTGGGGCATGTCTGTGTCATAATCATCTTCACACTTGCCAAGCATGGGAGGGATACTCATTACAGCAACCATGGCAAGAAATCCTGAAGGCCCTCAGCTAGTAAGATTAGATAGCCATGCACACTCAAAGATCAGGCCGTGTATGCTCTATGATTCAAAAGAAATCAACCTCCTGTACTGGAGTAACTCATACTGTGTGCTAAACCCTGAATTCTGCATGCAAAAACTTGTGCAACATTTTGAGCATAGGCCTTAAGGTACTGCCTACACATTTCCAAGCCCATTTCCCAACAACAGCAGCTTCTGCTTTCAAAGTGCTTAATTCTATTTTAATACCAAAACTCTGCACATGTCCTGAAGGAGAGATGCTATACTCCACACCAACCAAAGGTGGGAAAAGGTAGACTGTACTCCTGGACTATACTTTTCCCCCCTCTACTCTACTCTCATGAAAAAAACATAACTGATCACATTTGAACATTTGTCTATATGTTAAAAAGGAGAAACATATGCTTATTAAGGATACAACACAGCAGATTGTGATTACTTGAAAGATTTTACTTACAGGAGAAATGAGAAAGATCAAAGTAGCACCCACCTCTTGGATCTGCCTCTGATTCCTCTGCTGACCATTTTCTGCTCAGAGTCATGGGAGGGTGCTACAGGGTAACCACCATTGCACTGATGTTCTGGTGGCTTCCTCTCAGTCTGGCCTCCATTAGGGCATTCTGCATGGTCTTTCTCACAAAGATAGCGAAAAGTCCTTTGTGGTTTGGGTACTGGGTTGATGGCTGACTGCCTTTCCTGGCCTTCAACGTCACAGTATATGTTCTCCAAGCTCTTTGTCAGAGCAACATTCAGCTCCTTCTCTGCTGAGCCACAGCTTTCCCGTTTACTTTTCCAGTCCAAAGCAATGGAGAGAAATTTATCAGGAGGAAGTGCTTCAATTTGTTTCCATAGGTCCCGTGAGGTGTAGAAGTTCCCTGGCGGCAGCCTCTCCCCTTGCCATTCCTCTTCGTCTCCTTTGGGTGTAACTCCATTGGGGAACGGCTCAACCAAACTCTCTTGGAGTTTCTCATCCTCATCCTCCTCAGCCACACAACAGAGATGAGAGCTCTCCCGAAAATCTAAGCCAAGATTCTGCACACTTGCTAGCCCTCCTACATTCTTGCCATGCCCAAGTCCCACTGGCTTCCCCTTGCTGTCCTGGCCATACTTAACTCCAAAGTCCTTGGGTTTCTGCCTTTCCTCCTGACAATCCCCTTTTGTCCGACCCTCCCACTGAGAGATCTTTTGCTTGATGTTCCGGCAGTGGCTACGTGACAAGGTTTGCACAGCAGAACGGGAAAAGCCAGGGTCGATGCTCCCTGTTGGGTGCATGGCAGGGCAGCTACCGTCACTACAGCTCCATCACAGCAGGCTACTTCCAGATAGGGTAGCAGAGATCTGTAATCCCCCAAATCTAGCTGTTGCTGGCCTCTAATCAAATCCAATTTGTGGAGTGGCACAACTGCACCAACAGTGGAAGTGTATCCTGATGGCACCCTGCAGAAGGAAAGAGCCACAGAACATCCATCAGAAGAAATGCAAGCTATAGGCAATACACACGCTTGTGTATATAATACACACGCTTATGACACAATAAATTGGTTAGTCTCTTACAAACAGACAGACCTTATTCTGAGAGCCTTTCCATATAGTACGGCAATCCATAGTTTACAAGTTAATTTACCTCTGACAGGGAGCAGACCCATCAATTGCTGTTCCAATCTCTCAAGTTTTGGAAGTCTCTGATCTGCCCTGTGGCAGAAAGATAGGACTGGCAGGTCATGCAAGCCAGGACTGCTCTTCAGGTGAATGCCACCACAATCACAGTTCCCCTTAGTTCCACAACAATGAAAAAGATTAGCAAGGCTTCCCAAGGCAGTGCCTGGGGTGAATGTTGCCTTCATTTCGCAAACAGGGAAAAATGGGCAAGACAGTGATGCAAGCCGCCCACAGCCACTGCAGGCAGAGGTGGCAGAGACAAGGTTTGAACTCAACAGGGCTGGTTCACAGGCTTCTGTTCATCCCACACCCCGCACAGTGATGACAGGGTAGTGCTGCTTTTTCCCATCATTTGCACAGGTGCATGCAAGTATCTTCTTAGGTCCAAAGTTACTTCAAAGCCCTTTACAGCTTTATTTTACTTTACTTTTATTATCTATTTTATTTTTATTTCTATACCACTGAACAGCCAAAGCTCTCTGGGCAGTTCACAAAGAACGTCAAAATAAAATTAAAAATGCATTCTATTAAAAATGTAGTAAAACATAATTAAAAGTTTACAAAATTTAAAACCTCATATTAAACAGGTAGTAATTTAACAACTCAAGAGCACATAGTCTATATAGATTGCTATGTTATTTTGTGTCCTTAAGGAGTTGTGGTCCTGCTGGGGTGTGGGGGTGGGGATTAAAACAGGACAACTAATATCCCTGCAGGAGCATCCCACAGGCAGTGCAAGAAACAGCTGCAAACCCCAGATACCCACAAGAGAGAGATTTTCCTATCTCCATAGGACAAGACAGGTTCAGGATGCTGCAAAAGTCTTCACAACAGAAAACACTTTTTGTCACCAGTAGTTAAATATAAATGGCCAGAGAACCCAGAAGCAACAGGTAATCTCACACCAGCAGTCCTTTCTCTTCTCACAGAAACGTCAACATCCTATCTTCAGAACTAGCCTTCCAGAAGAACTGAACAAAAAACAAAAAGTGTAAAAGCACCCTTACATTCAGAGGCTTTGTCATATATAGAAAATATTTCCAAGCGTTCCTCTGAAACCATGAAGTCTGGTGATTTGTTTAACTGAGAAGTTATCAATGAGGCAAGGTACCTCTGCAGCTGTCTAAAAATGTTCCATGGTTACTTCAGCCCTCCACAAAAAGGGGGTGAATAACTTCTGGCTCTCCAGATGTTTGGGTTTACACTGCCAACATCCTTCACCATTGGCTCTGCTGCCTAGAATGGATGGGAGTTGTCCGATGAAACCTCTGGAGGACCACGAGTTGCCCACCTCTGCATTAGAGGGAACAGTAGCTCCCCAGTCAGTGAAGAACTCTTTTCCCTGTCATTTCTTCAGCCACTGCCAACCTGCCCTTATCTCAGGGCTTGCTCTCCGTGCCACAGCCCACAGGGACATGCCTGCCATTTTGCAACACTCACCCTGACAGACAAAGCCCTCTCTCGCTCTGTCAGGCAGTTCCATTTCCTTGGGCAGCTGGGGCTCCCTTCCTCTCAGAGTTTCAGGATACTCACTCCACTCCAGCCCCGCACAAAAGTAACTATAAATAGGCCTGCCTTAAAACATCCGGAGCAACTGGGAGTCGCCTACTTTAACACCCCCTCTGCACAGCCTTGATTAGCAGCAGCAGCAGCAGCAGCAGTGCCACTCCTCAAAGTAACAACCCAGCATAGGCATCAAGTGATAATGCTCCTCAAAGAAACAGCTGTTGATATCCCTGGAGGTTATGAGGGCCCAGAAGGAGGATGGCTTGCGGGGGGGGGGGGGCAGGGAAGCATTACAATAAAGAAACCCTAAAGTGGAAACAGCCCCTAACTCACAGCTGAATATCAGAACATTCTCAGCATTGCACACAATGGCCTAAATTCTTGCCTTAGACGTTGGGGAGAACGCCTGTCCATTTCCTTCCTCAATACTACAGTATGTATCCTGCCCATCACCTCTTTTCTTTTCAGAGCCAGGCATAAACAAAGTAAGGCCTAGCACAGAAAAACTAGGCCATTTTTCATACTGCAAAAAGGGGGGATTCATAAAAATAAACATTTCCTGCAAAGAGAGGAGGACCTTCCTGCAGACCGACATCATGCAGTGGTCTAGTATAGAACCGCTACTCTCCACCCCCAATACTATATTTTTACAGACTGAGGGTTTCATTTTTGGTTTTACCTGTGGGAGCATTTAATTATGTACCCAAGCCTGAGGAGCTTACAGTAAAAAGGAATAACTTTATCACATGACTTTCCTGAAGTTCAGCTGCCTCTCACTATACCTTCTCCCCTTCCCAATGGCATCCTCTGGAGGAGGTAGCTTCTGAAAAATGCACCAGGCACTGATCATAACCTAGAGCAATTCCCAGCACCATCTTGAGAGGTGCTTCTGCCATGTCATCATCAATGCAAAGAGCAAGGAAGGTAGAACCCATAATCTGGACAAGACAGAAATGGAGAGTAAAAAATGAACAGGCTTAAGTAGTGTAGCCCTGGACCTTTTGCACAGAAGGGGATATGTGCAGATAATGATTTTGCAGCTGAAGCATAATCAAAAGCACCAAATTAAATCAGAAAATGAGGACACAAATGTAAACAACGGAAGCATGCTTCATGAAAGGAGTCTGCACCACATACGATGCCAGCTGATCCGCAGGCCCCACTAGCCAATCCTCCCTGACCCAAAAGAGCAACAAGGCCAGTGCAAACAAGTGGCAGTGGAAGAAGAAGAAAAACCTTCTAGGCAGGCATTTTCAGTGATGATCGTGATAGTGAAGGTAGTGATCATTTGTATACCACCCAGCCGGCAAATGCCCTGAGGAAAGTTTATGATAATAAAACCAAGAAGCAACAACAAAATAAACAAAAATAAACTAATGCCAAAAAATCAACATATAACAACATGAAAAACATTTTAAAAACTTGATAACATTGTGGAGCCAACAGAACAAAGCTACAAATGCCTGTTTAGCCTGGTGTTTAAATGTATACAATGGAAATGTATAGAAGAGGAGGGGAAGGAAAAAGAGGAGGAAGCAGCAGCACAAGCTGTTGCTGAAAGAATGAAAATCAAAGCTGGCCTGGGAGGTGGTCAGAATGACAGAGAATTAGCATTGCTATGCAATAATGGGCAATTCAGCCTGCAATTGTTCCCAGACTAATAGTAAATGCATTATCAGTTAGGGATAGCACTGATAAAGAGAGCTTCCAACAAGTAGCAAGCAGCCTTGTTTGTTAAAGAAACAATGGCACTATTCATAAGACAAAGTATTTTCTTGACCACAGAACCAGAACTCTACTTTCTGTCCTAATGAACTTGTCTCAGCAATTCCCCCAATCCTACCTCTCACTCGCAAACATAGTGTACCATTCTTAGTCTTTACTAAGAATAAAGTCATAATCCCAAAGGAAGTGCAAGCCATTCTTCAAATATGCCCCCAAGGCACTGCATCCCACAGAATATCCCTTCCAGCCCTGCCCCTGCTAGAGGTAAAACAATAAGAACAAAAATACATCCCACTCATTCCTGGTATCCTTGATTTAACACCAACATTAAGAAAGGTCCACTCCTTTGATGCTTTGGTAATCAGGTGGACATACAGAAGTTCATGCTTCTTGCTTCCTTTCTGAATAACAAGCACCTGCATAAATTGACAGTCTTCTTAAAAAAAACAATACTGAAGCAAGAGCTCAACCCTTTTCCAAGGAACAGACCCTTCCTTCTATATAATCACCAAGAAAGTGGCCATTTAAACTTGTGCCCCTTGTTTATAACTGATGGAAGATACAAGAATTTTATCCTGTATATATAATACTTGCATATTGAAAGGAATTCCTAGCCTGGATGCCAAAATCTAGTACATCTCTGACAGGGTCAGAATATATGCTGTTCAGCATATGTTGGGGTTGGGGGCAATGTCAAGTCTGCAAGAGCTGAAGACCAAGCTGGTCTGCACTATTGTTTGGTGACTCTGTTGAAAGTATTGCAAGCAACTACCACCCCACTTCTGTTCCACAAGTGGCCATCCCTGCTGATTCTGTTGCACAAGCAGAACCCTCTGCCTGTGGAACAGAAATTGAGTGCTTCTTGATGCAAGCCCTAAAATGAGTCAAAATGCTTTTTTTCTGAAATGGATCGGGTTGGCAGAGTCCCTTTTGCGAGGTTTTTCAAGCTCTTAAGTGCTAAGTTTCAGAACATTCAATGAACAGAAGATGGGAGTGGAATAAATCTGTACAAGTAGCAAAGTGTGAGGAGGGAGGAACAAGCACTAAATATAAAAATGAAACCCTTTGAGCAGAATATTTCATAAATTTTTGGATCTTTTTGTGTGTAGCCTGGGGTGTATATTATTCTTTCCCTAGAGGAAAAAACCTATAATGGCAGCAGGCTGTAAAAGAGATCCAGTTTGAGAAAGTTTTAATGAAATTCCTCTACCTATGGGTAAGGCAGACATGTATGCAAATCATGTAGAAAATCTTGATTTAAATGTAGTCCTACTGACTAGTGATTTAAATTGATTTGATTTCAAACAAATGCACTCTGCTTGATCCTATCAACTACTTGCTACAAATGCTCCCTTTCAAATTCCACCATTTTTCCTCTAAGAGAGCCAAATACAGCTTATTTGGTCTTCTTCTTTGTCTGTTTATCCTCACAACAGTCTGTGAGGTAACTTAGGTTGAGAGTCAATAAAGTCACCCACAGCTGAGTGGGCACTACAGCACAGATGTCCCAAGTCCCAGTCCAACAATCTAACCACGACACCACACTG